AAAGCTAAGTTACCTTTATTAGTGAAAGCATTTAATTCATTTTCTCACTTTCAAACTGTTCTTTGTCATTTGCCTTCCCACTCCTGCAGCCCCAGTGTGGAGGAGGAACGACTGTGGGACAGAAACGTTCCTGGTGTGTGGGGCCATGGGCTGCACTGACACGGGATTTTAGAAGTGGCAGCTGTCCTGTGCTGTTTTCCTGTAGTACTCTAAAGTCTGAAGCTGCAAGTTAATAAAGCCCAGCCTTACTAAGAGAGGAGGGTGAGGTAATTAGAAAGTCGTGCTGGGAAATGTCAGTCCCGCCGTTCCTGCGCCGCGAAATCCCCGGATGCAGCGGCCCCGAGTGGGGCTCTGTGTGTGCAATAAGGCAGGGTCAGGGCACCAGCCATTTTTAATATTCCTGGTGAACTTTGGACCATCACAAGTGCACGTGAGCCAAGAATGCAGGATGCAAACTAATGTGACTGATAGGCTGCGAGATGAATGGTGATTCAAGTATCAGTGCACAGATGGTTCTGATTTGCTGAGTTTTGTAGCTGCTGCAACTGAAGACATAAAATATCCTTCTAGTCATAAATTAGCTCTTTGGAAGCAAAACCTTGGCACCAGAGCTTTACAACCTTCAATTAGTAGGGAAAGAAGTATTTGAATGACTGTGGTATTGACATCTGTAGGCCTGCATAGTAATCATTCCTAATAGAAGAGAATATCTGTTTGAGGGGGTTTTGCATGGCTAATTAACCACCAGTGAGAATATGTAATTTTTTCATGATCTCCTGATTGTCACCTTTCTCTCATGATACAATTACATTTTATTGTAGCAAGTGCCTCACAAACCAATTGTCAGCACTATTTACGTATTGTGGAAGGCAGAACAAAAGTTCATGTTTAATGAAAAGGCACTGGGTTTTGATCTTGGTAATTACAGATACTTATTTTAGCAATTTTATTGACTTTTCTGGTTTTATCACTTTTTTTTTTTTTTTTGTTAACAAAACCAAAAGCTACTTTGGTGACAGGACTTGAAGGCTACGACGGGGTGACCACTTTGTCCTCACTCATTTAAGCAGCTTGTTTTAAGTTTGCACTGTTTTCTGAAGTGACTGGAAGCATCAGGTAGCTGTTAGCTGATTTCCAGCTGATCCTGTTGGATCTCTGTTTCACAGGAGCCTTTGATTTCTTAGTCAGATACCGAATAGTAAATCTTATTTCCTTCTTATTGCCTGGCCTAAGACTTGACAGTCGGCAGGATAAAAGATGAGCCTGACCTTCCAGGCTGCAGGAACTGCTGCAATTTGCTATTTGCAAGTGCACAACCCCCCTGGAAAATCCCTGGATGAGGAGTGTCAGTTCTCACCACTCCCGTGCCACAGGACTAAGTGGAATTGGTTCTGATGGCCAGGAACAAGAGCAGAATGTCTGTGTATTACTAAATCTTGGCACCTGTCACCACTTTTTCAGAGAATTCTGTGATGCTGTGTCTCAATTCTTGGAATAGCAGGAACGCCAGGATCACCTGGGTTGTACTGGAGTGTGTTCCTGCAGTTCTGCTGCTGACACGAGCCAGTTTCCTCTAACAGTCACTGCACAACAGCATCAGAAAGGCAATTTTAGGGTTGTTCAAAGGATTTAAGGAGGACTTATTGGAAGTAGAGAGGGCAGAAAACTGAACTCTCTCCGAAGGTATTGCCCTTTTCAGAAAATGCTGCATTTCAGGGGCCTGGTGCACTTGGTGCTGCAGTCCTGACAAAGTGCTGCATGACAGGCAGGCTCTTCCCACTGCATCTCTTCATGGCACTGTCTGGAGTGATCCCAGGTCTGACTCTTCATCTCAGCATTCCCTTTGCACTTCTCCTGTTCACCAAACACCTCTCCCATTAAAGAGGCAGCCTAAGAATAGTGGGAGCCACTACAACCAACCACTGTTGCCTCACTTGCTGCTTGTGAGCAGGATCTGGCTCCAGTGACCTGTGTGAGTGCACCTGTACCAGTCTGGTACAGGAAAGGAGGTGGCTGGGGGTTAATTCCCTTCTGAAGACCAGTAAACACCTGTAAGTACCAGTCAGGGGATCCTGGAGCACCAGCTCCTTGAAGAGAATTGTTTCAGAGCACGGATTTTAGGATACAGCTCCCTGTATAGTTATCTGAATCTAATCCTGAGATGACATTAAAAGCAGTGGCTGCATCCTGGTTCTTTGTTCTGATTGCACACCAAACACAGGTGATAAAATACTAATTGCATTCATTCTCAAATTTGTTCACCACAGTTTTGGCTCTGGATAAATACTTTCAGCTTTCCCCCTCTGGTGAAAGTGCTGGTGTTGGGACCAAAGGAAGTGTGGTGAGACCAGCTCCCTGCGTGACTGAGCTTGTAGATACCAGATTAAAAATTAATTACATCAATAACAACCTGTAATTCCATTAGTGGAAATACGGTCATTTTTAGGTGTAAAATACGTATTTTTTTTTAAGCGCTTTAAGTTCTGTTTGGAAAGTGATGCAGTTGTTTAAAGTGTGTCTGTGTGGTGAAGATGATTGTTTGGGGAATCTGTGGAAATGTTGACCTGAAGTTTATTCTAGCATCCTTCCCAAATACAGCACAACTCTACCTTGGTACTGGTTTGAGGAAAACATTCTGTGATATTTAAAATGCTGGGAAATATTCTTTGGAGAAAGAATCACTCTCATTCTGTGTTCTCGTACTGGAGCTGGAACAGTTTTGTGTGAAATGCAGGCTTTTTTCACTATATAAAATGCTCACTGTGCATCCCAGGTTCGCCTACCAAAGCCTCCACCAAAACCAGCTCAGCCCAAGGGAAAAAAGGTGGAAGGTGGAGAAAACACCTGTCAGAACAAAGCCTGTGCTGGGGGAACAGGGACACAACTCCCAGGTGAAGAAAAGCCAAGCAAATTGAACAGGAGGCCTCAGCAAGCAGAGCCTCAGCAGGTGAGGATTTGGGCACCCAGCTCTCCCAGGAGTTTGCCTGCTCCCTGAGCTCCCTGTCCAGCTTTTGGGGTGGGCAAGGAGGAAAAGGGCTTGAAAAAGGCCAAGTGCTCTGTCACAAACCCCAGTAGTTGGCAGATTTTTAGTGGTTTCCAGTATTCCAAACATGAACCTCAGTCTCTTGTAGCCCAGGGGATGAGAGCCAGGAGGGCAGTACCTCACCTGGCCCAAACCTGGGATAACTCTGAATGCTCCCGAGTTCCTTTCAGCTCCCAGAGTTACTGTCTGTACCTCCCCAGGCTCCCTTAGCCAAGCCTTCAGCAAGAGCTGTGGAAGTGAAGGAGGGCAGGGGGCAGGAGGACAGCTCCAGCTGCCTGAGCAGGCCCCACGCCCGCGTGACGCGCCGGCAGTGCCAGGCGGAGGAGAAGCCGCTGAGATGTTACAGCACAACTGCGGAGCCCGAGCACCCACTGAAGGTGAGGGGTTGGGCTCACCTTACAACAGTCCTGGTGTCCTGAGAAGGAAAGGTCAGCTCTTCTTAAAATAAGGGTTCAAAATCCCACAAAGCCTAAACTACGTGTGTGCCAACTCAGTGTTTGCCACAAACACTAAAGGTCATAGCACTCAATTAATTAAGTTGGTAAATCTGAGGATTTCAGTAGTTAACTAACTCACCTTAAATAATATTGCTAATTTAGTGCATAAAAGGGCTGAATGAATGCTTTCAGTCTTACTCTTCAACTCTACAGGAAAAAAAATGAAAAAAATTAATCAAAGTTTTAGTACAAATAATGCAGAATAATTTACATCTCAGCGATCACCCTGTGCTCCTTTTCTCTGGAGCTTCAGTATATTTCAGTGAAGGGATTCCACCCTGTTTTACCTCCATATAAAAAAATAACTTGGTTAAATGAGGACAGTTTCTAACAGGCACAAAAATGCAACTTGAAAGGTAGCTTTATTATTAATCTGAAATTCTTTGCTTCAAGCAGTCTGATCATCACTGCCTGGAGACTCCGGTACAAGCTGGGAGAGGGAAGCAGAAAAAGCACAGCTGTACCTGAGAGCACCAGGCAAGACAGTGGTGAGCAGAACCATCTGGGGAGATGTTTTGGCTGCCAGCAGGGGAGGTAGAGTCTGAAAAGTCAAATTTTTCTCACTGACGAAAAAAAGCATGAGAAGAAAAAAAGGGCAGGATTCTATTAGTTTCATTTTGCAGAATTCCTCTCATGTAATTCAGGAGCTTGGTAAAGGAAAGGTGTCTAGGAAAGCACAGCTGAAGGGTTGGCCCTTGTGCTAAGGGCCAGTGGAAAAGACAGTCAAGCCTTGGTAAGTGAGAAGTGCAAGGGTGGAGTTTGGCTAAGGATGGCATTGCTGCTGGAGAGCCCAAAACCAACAGCCACCACCCTGGCCAGGGAGGACAAGCCCTGTAAGCAGGTCTGTGCTCTCTGTGATAGGTCAGGAGAAGTTCAGCTTCACTGTGAAATGCAAAACTTACACAAATCAAAACAGCAAATCCAACTTCAGAGTCATGTCTCAGGTTCCCAGGGTAAACCTTTATTAGCCCAAAACCAAGGAAGACTGAATATATTAAAGTTTTTTGGAAACAAGTTAAAGAGAGAATAAAATTTCAGCTCTGGACCTCAGTAGTAAATATAGACTATGTATCTTTACCCATACCTTATGTTACACACTTACTATAAAATACCCATACATCACAAATTCCAGAGGTAAGGCTCTCTAAGAACTGTATTGCTTTCTCTGGGATAACTTAAATACCCCAGAGTTTTTTCTGATTCACATCTCGCTTAATGTTAACAACTTTATTATTACTCTTCTTTTCCTCTGCAGAAAGACACTGCAAGAGATGTGTCACCATTTGACCCCTACAGGATATTCTCAGAGTCCCGAAAGAAATACGATCACCTGCTCAGTGCAGTCCGTGCAGTGCCATCCCAGGCTGGCCCTGACACCGCTCGCCCTTCCATGGCTGTTGTGTTCAGGTTGGCCTTTACTGACCAAACGTACCCCTACACTGCAGCTGTGCTGGTGCTCCTGCTGCTCATTGTACTGTCCTTGTATCTGCTGTGATGTTGCTGCTTTGGTGTCTCCAGTGTAAGTGCAGTGGGGTTCCCACCACGCAGTTTTTCCTCAGAGTTTCTTCGTTGAAGATTTCAGCGTCAGGGGCTTGAAAAAGAGGTTTTAAATAATGCAGTCAGTACATACCTTGTGCAGGCACGTTCTCTTAAACCTTCCAGATCTGCACTAGTAGTTATGGATGCACTGAACTATTTGTGCTGCTTTCTGTTGCAAATGTTGGGATTCTTTTCAGTGTGTTTTTTTTAAACTGGACCTTTGTTACAGCAACAGTAAAAATGTCATAAAGTACAACCGAGTGTGATCTTTAATCACTCTGGCACTAGTGTGTTGTGACTGGTGTGGAGCTGCCTTTATACTGTGTGAGAAAACCTTTCGTTAAACACTGATGCATTAAATGCATGGGAATTTAGTTTATTCCAGTGTGTAAAGAAAACACAGAATTTATGGCTACTATTTTAAAAAAGAGAATGGAAGGTTAACTTTGATGAAAGATTAACTTTGCTACTGGCTTTGCCTTTTCCTGAGCTCCCACACACCCCTTAGTTCACTCCTATTCCTTGGATTTCCTTACCTTATTGCAGTAGGGACATTCACCAAAGATGACATTAAAACTCTGCCTGCTGGTAGGAAGGCCTTGTAGCCACTGCAACACAAGGAAGGGGGTTAAAATGCACATTGGTTTCACATCAGATTTAAGAACCATCTATTTATTACCAGGGTTCAGCTGATGAACATCTAACACACTGCACTGAAAGTCAGAGGGGGCAGAGCTTATGTAGGAACTGGGGGTGAGAGGGCAAGCGGAAGCACAGTGACTGTGGTAACGTCCCTGATGGGATTTTGCTTCATCTGGAATTGAAGTGGGCAATGGTTGTTTTCTAGACCCTGCCAGTTCCTGAGCAGCTGGTGCCATTAACTGCTTTACCTCGTAGAGACAAGCCTGGTGGAAGGGCTGTCCACAGCGGGGCTCGTCACACACTTGGTCGGGAGCGGCGCCGTCCAGGCGATAGGCATAGCAGATCCCACAGTCCTTGGCAAAGTCCTGCAACACAGCAGGGTTTGTCACAGAGCAGCTGGGAGGGACCAGGGGGCTGCTAACACAGCAAACAGGCTCATCTCTGTCCTTGCTTTTGTCTTCTCTGTTAGCTAGAACCACTGTTCTTGCCTTCAGTATAGAAATGGTTGTGCCATAATGGCAGAGAGTAACACTGTTTCCCAGATGCACAGGACTTTACTGGGTTATAATTTATATCGAGTTCAACAAGCCTTTTCATACCTTTGGGCCCATTTTTTTTATTAACCACGATGATTTGTCATTGCATTTCACCATTAGACACAAGCCCTCAGTCAGATCTTAATTTAGAAGTTTCACAAGTGAAAGCCAAGCTCGTAATCCAGTGTTAAAGCATTGTCAAAAATTAATTCCCAGTTTTGTTTGAAATGCACCAGTATTTGGATGGCCTCTTGTCCCCTCTAGGCAGCTCTACCTAATTAGAACCAAAGTCATCAACATCCATAACAGAATGTTTGGATTGTCCACATCTCATTAGCTACTCTGGAACTTCCTCTTTCCCTTTTAATAGTGGAGCCTCTTATTAATGGCCTCTGTGCTAGGAAGGCCACAGGGAAGTGTGCACCTCTAATCAAAGGTTAACAAGCTCTGACAACTGTTGCTTGAAGTTCAGAAGTCCTTGTGACAATATATTAATCCAATTACCCCTCTTCTAAGTCCCTTATTTTTCCTGGCTGTTACAAAGTGACCATTTAAATGTCCCTTATTCAGAAATAACAACTGATCATTAAAGAAAAGCAACTCACGCTTTTTTCCAACACCGCCCGAGATGGAAACTCAATTTCTAGGAGGTCTTTCAAGTTTTGTAACAAACTGATTTCTGGATCCCTGTGGGTGGGAGAGAGGGAGAAAAAGTTCCACACCAGGAATGGCAAACACCATTTCAGCTCCAAGCCTGTTTCACTACAGACACTCACCACAAGTGCATGTTGTTGTTGAGCTTAGTCCTCAGAGGGGCCACTGCTGCAAACCAGGGACAGAACAATCACATCACCCCACTGAACATCCCACATTTCAGGCAGGGGTTGGACTGACGAAACAAGTGGGGTCTGCTGCCTTACCATGGTCTGCTCCAAGGAAATAACACTCTGGAAGCATGTTTGGATGGCGAGGATCTACCTCCACGTTCACAGAGACATTGTTCCCTGCAATGAGAAAGCAGGGAAAGCCATGGGGAAGCTTTGCAGTCAAATATTAGAAAATGGAAACATTTTTAAAGGCTGTTTAAAATTGGTTAAATCAGCCTGGGTTTCACTATGACAAATAATAAAAAAGTTGGGAGGTATCCAAATGAATTGTACAAAATATCAGTATATATGAAATATTTGCATTTCAATGGGCTGTAATTCAAAATAGCAACTGATTAAAAAAACCTGCCAGGCTTGCATTTCTTTTAGACTAGTCTTAACATTTCTGAATAATCAGACTCAAGCTAGATGACTAAACCCATTGGAAATCATAGCAGCACTTTAAAGGTAGCAGAGATATAACTTATTAATTCATCATTATCTTTTATAGCCAAAAAGAGAAGCCTAAGGACACTATTAAGCAGTGACAGTCAGTCCCCTGCCCAGCACACCTGGGCTGAGCCAACAACGGTGGGTTTTCAAACAGCAAAGTGCAAAGTGAATCTTTTTAATACACAAAATAAGAGTTGTGTCTTTGGGTTTTTACCTCTCCAATCCACTGTATCCCTTCCAACCTTTTCCTACCTATTGCAATCCTCCTGGCTGTGGCGCTCCGGGTGGGATTCTCCGGCTCAAGCACCCACGTCTTCCCATCGATTTCATCCAGCGCATCCCAGAATTCTTTCAGTGACTCCAGTGCTGCCAGGAACTGGTTGTAAATGTCTAGTAAGGAGTTCTAAGAAAAGAAAACAAATTTCCTATGCTTTCCACCTATGGCCAGAGAGAATATTTAAAAACCAAACTGTAGGTCGTTGAAGGAGTGTTCAAATCCATGTGTGTGTCCCAGTGTATCCTGGTAGCAGAAAACATGGAAGCTCACTGGGTTTTTAGCTGAAACAACACAGGGAAAGCTGTACCCTGAGCACAAACACTTTACTCCTGGTAGTTCTAACATGTGCTATACATACATCATGCCTGGATTTGATAGTGGTTTATACTCCTTTTTTTAAAAAGCTGGGAGGAGCTATAAATTTACACTGTAACTTTAAAAAAACAACTCTAAAATTACAGTAAAATCATCCTTTATCCTCATTATCATCACTGTATTATTATTAACTTTGACATTCTGATATTTAGTCTCTACTTGAGCTGAGCACCACAACAGTGTTTCCCAACAGAACTACAAAGACATACCCACAGAACCAAAGGAGCTTGTTTATTTTTTTAAAAATATCACTTACCATCATCATAATTATCTCAAAATCAAGCAGTATAAAAAAACAGGTGCTTAACATCAGATTTCAAACCATGTAAATAAGGCAAGAGGAGGAGAAACCATCTAATAATCAGAGGATTATACTTGGGGGATTTCAATATTTGAGAGTGGATTACATGGAATCAGAAAAATCTTTCATTAGACAGGACAATATACAGGACAATGCAAAAGAAACCCTTCAAATTATAAAAAAGAAGTAACTATTTCTACAAGGAAAGGCTTCTGCAAGGGGAGAAAAGACTTGGTGGTCAAGTGAAGCCCTTTGCAGGTGCCCAGAGAGAGCCGGATTTCAGATATCTTGGGGTCCAAAAGAAAAAGCAAATTAAATGTTCTGCTCTCAGAGAGGTATTTTTCTACAAATAAAACAAAATACAGAGGGAATGGTTTCCTTTAATCTGCAGTGATTATGTTCTTTCTTTCTCACCTGGACAAAGAGAAGCAAATTATCTGAGTGTTCTGAGATGAAGAAATAGGCTTTTTCTCTGTAATAACTTTTTATATTTGGTGATACATATTTTAGAAAGAAATGGCACAGCTTAGAAATAAAATGCTACATTTTTTCCTGCTGTTATTAAATTATATTAGAGTAGGAAAGCACCTAAGCAGAAAAGTGTGAACACTGCCAATCTCCAAATGTAACGCTTATTATCTTTAAAAGCATTTTGTTACTTTTATAATACCTGAAGTGATATAATAGTGTCAGTCACTTAACCACATCTTAGAGTATGGTATCTTCATCTTAAGTACTATTATTTCCAGTATTTTAATAATTTTCACACAGTCCTGAAATGTGATCTTTTGTGCTCTGATGACACTTAAATTAATAGCATAATTTTCTGGTACTTGCAACAGTTGCTTTCCATTTTGATTTTTTACATTTTTCTATATCACATACAGATAAATCCTCTAATAATCATTTTTATCTTTATCTTCCGGGAATTCAAAGGGTTTCACTAGAAAAAAGAAACATCAAGGGATTATAACCCACAGATAAGTTTTAAAATCCAATTAATTTTAATACTAATTGTAATTTTTCAATGATGTTCCTTAAAAAGGTAGTTAAATCTTTTTTTTTTATACACTGTTCATTTGATCTTATTTGCATGCTTCATTGATGTTGCCAGCTGTCTCCTGCTATAGACATAAATGCATCTATAGCTATTTGAATATATCACCTGCTTGTCATGCAAGCCATGAAACCCCCAACATTCCTTTTTATTTGATTAACAACTAATTTTTGGTCATTGCCCAACACTTTTAGAGCAGCCTGACTGTGCTTTTCTTTGGTCTCAGCTACACCAAGATGGTTGTTAATAATGTCAAGCAGCACCAACTCTTTGTTCCGTGGTCCCTTTTGTACAAATGTGTTGGAATTCGTGTGAAATATGTCAAAATTCTTTGGAAAATAAGGCAGTGATAAAGCAGACTATCAATGCTGCTCACCCTGATAAAGCAGACTATCAATGCTGCTCACCCTGACCCAACAAGCACTTACAAAACCAAACTGGTTCCTTCCTAAACATTGATTTTAATGGTTCCTCAGCCAACTGTGAGCCCAAAGTTACCTCTGTGTTATGATTCCCTGTATCCCTTATCCCTTTCAACCACTGGCACGGGATGGAGCACTCAGTTTGTCCAGGGAAATATTAAATCAAATATTAGTAAAAAAGTTCTAATTAAGGTAAATACAGCACAATTGATTACAAACTATTTTTCTTCAAAAGAGAAAAATGTGATCTTTTAGCTAAAATTCTTCCTAGCGTGCAATTTGCTTATCCAAAATTAAAACAACTGCAAAAGCCCCCTAATGGAAAAGGGGAAGTAGCCTAAACTAAAGGTGCTGACACCTGCTTGCCCTTCAAGAATTCACAAATAAAATACAATTCAACAAAGCCAACAGTTGTTGGCTGGGAAAGGGATCACCTGTATCACCTAAAAAATTTGTGATTCTTAAGATTTGTTAGGACACTGTTTCCCACGAACAGCAGTTTAACAATCTCCCCCCTCCTTAACACAAATCAAACCGAGAGATAGCACTGAAATCTTTATAAAGTGTCTTGTCAGCCATCTCCTATTTACAGCTGGTGTCTGTGAAGCTCCTTTGCCAAGAAAAAGCAAAATTATGAAGTGTTTTATTGTGTTTTCATCAAAATAACCAAAGAATAATCTCCTACATACACTACACCTCCTGAACCTTGTCTCACTGTTTCCTTGCCTGCTGCTGCACGACCTCATTAGTCATTAATTCCCACTCTCCTGACCTTCATGTAGCCACCCAGGTGGGCAGTGGGCAGCACAGAAAGCCCCCCCTGCCGCGAGGGCAGCGGGACAGACACCCCGGGCCTGCGGCACCACCCGTACGGCGGGGGCTAAAATTGGAGCCAGCACATCCATGTGGTTCTCCAGGAAAAGGAGAGAACAGAAATAAGTAGATGTTCTTGCACTTGTCATTGAGAAGCACTCTGCATTTATTTGGCACTTAGAGCAGGAGCAGCAGCAGCAGCATTGCCCTTGGTGCTGATTTCTTACCACTCTAAAACGTCTCCTCCGAGCCAGAATCCACTGGCTGTTGCTGCTCATGCTGTGAGACACCTGCACTGGCTACTGGGCTTGTCATGACGCACAAAACCCCACCATCTTCAGCTTGACATTGTGCAAGTTATAATTATTCATCCAAATGAATATGTCAGAGCAGCAGCAGCAGACCTCTCATCAGCGCAAAAGAAAAATACATCAAAACATTATCAACCCAGCAGGAAGACAGGGACCATAAGGAAAATTACCCATTTTTAATATGGATGCCATAAAGCCATGTCTATTATTATACAGAAGGGAGGAAAAAAAAAAAAAAAAGAAAAGAAAAAAACCCAACCACCCAACAACCCCTCAAGTTTAAAGTCCATGAGCCTGAAATAGGCAGCAGCACACGCAGGGGGTGGAAAGAAAAATCAATTACCTGAAATCTATTTATATTTTCTCTCATAGGAGTTTATATTCTAATGGTGCAATTGCCTCGTTTTAGTTAAGCCTTGTCAGTTTATACATTCAAGAAGACCAAGAAATAGTAAAATGTAAGACCTATGGGTGCCAAAACATCCTGTTATTTTATTAGAGAACAGGTATCGCGTGTTCTTTTTCCCTTTTAGGAACCAAAATTTCCAGCCACTTGAGTACCAGCTGAATTCTGCTGCCAGGGGTGTTTCAGCATTATCTAAGCTTAACCCGTATTTTAGCACGGTGTGAAGGCTGCTCACTGCAATGATTTCCACACATTTGGAAAATAAACACAATTTCCACAATTACCACAGCCATTTGTTGGGTTCGTGTCACCCACGCAGACAAGGTCAACGTTCCAAACCTCCTGCACAGCTCAAGCCCTTCTGTCAGCACAGAACACGGGCTGCTGGGATTTGGTGCAGGATTAGAGCAGCTCTCTGCAGCTGGAATTACTGTCTCCTGATTTCAAAACAGGCTCTTCAGTTACACACAAACATCTATTGTTCATGTTTTCAAACAGCCCCCAGGTAATTCTAACTGTAAAAAGAGTTTAAGCATCAGAATGTTGTATTTTTAACATTGGATTTGCCTTGGTTGTAGTGCCAATATTAATATATCCAGCCCCGTTTTTAACTTGTCAAAGGCTGCTCCATGTCATGTTCTTCAAGAACATTTTATTAAATTACAAGTCCTGCCAGTAGCTTTAAAATTACTAACAGTAAACATGGAGAAGCAGTGACTGTCAGGGATATTTGAAGTGTTGTTAATTTGAGGCAACACAAATTGCAAGGCTGTAAAATTAATAAAATACTGTTAAAACTATGTATAAAGTTTGAGGTTAGAAACAGCACTTGAAATCCTGCCCATAGTTTATGGACTCCAGTAGAATTTAAGGGAAAACCAACATCTACTTAAACTGTTCCAAACCACCCCAGAGAACCAAAACCTAAATTTGCACGTGAAACTAAATATATTTTCATTTGCAATGCTTGATTCCTGCAGTTATTTGCTCAAGCTCCCAATATTAGAGGGGGACACACAGAGCCTTGAGCTTTGCAGTCAAAATTATATGCCCAGTTTAAACCCCTCCTGCTGCAACCTTCCAGCCAGGAAATTTAGTACCAAGACAGGCTTTATTGCTGGGGAGAAATCCTTGTGAGAGTTGGAATTAGCAGATGCAATCATTTATGTAAAATCTATTTTCCTGAATTAAGTGAAATTAAACATCAACTATTTTCTAGATGTAACTCAAATTAACTTACATCTAAGTGGTCACATAAAATTCATTTAATAAAGTACACATGATTTATTCAGGAAAAAAGGTACATGAAATAATGTGAGAGACTAAAAGATGACAATGGCTCGTGGTTCTTTTTAGTAACAATACCAGTCAAAATAAGAAATCAGAATTCCACTAAATACTTCCCTGTTTTGATTATAACTGGATTATAAGTTTTCTTATGTTATGAAAACTCTATAGGACAACCAAGTAGGGGACTGCCTTTTTTTGATGTCTGTCAACTTTAGAGGGTGCTTCTTTCCTAGAAGACAATCATTCTTTATGCATTTCACTTCATTTTCCCTTTCCCAATGTAATTCCTAAAGAAATTTCAGCCCTATGAACAGCTTAAAAACCCCAGCCAGTGTGAGTGCAAAGATACAACATGCAAAGTATATCTCCGTGGCAAGGAAGAGATTTCAGATGCTATGATCAGGAGTGCAGAGTTCAGTGTTCTTACATTTTCCTGGGCATGCACAGAAATAAAACGCACACAGGGAGAAAAGCTGGAGTTAAAAAATAAAGCCCAACCCCTCGTCACCACCTCCCCACTGCACATGTCAGTAAAGAAAAGCTGCCCAGTCCAGCAGGTACCTGTGGCATCCAGGAAATGGCAAACTGAACAGGAAAATCCACGAGGCAATCTGGTGGTTCTGTGGGATACTGAGGGAGGGAAAGAAAATACAGTTTTTTCATTTCTTTTTTTTTCCTTAGTGATTTAAAGTCAGACCGATACTCAGCTGCCAAATTTGATAACAAAATACAAGCACTTCAAGCATCTTGAGGACCTGGCTTTGAGAGGAAACAGTATGTAAAGCATTTTCAGAAATAGTTAAGAATGTTAATTATCATTTAAAGAAGAACTCTACATGTAAATACTTTTAGTAAAGACAAGAGAATCCCAGTTTTCTGTTTCAGTGGTCACAAGGACATATTCAAAAAACCTTAAGGCAAAACACATCCATTTTTTTAAATTTCTCCTCAATTACCTGTACTGGGATAGGAAAATATAGAAACCCAAAAAACCCTTTCACGAATCAACAACTAATTTCCATTTAAACTAAACTGTTTGCTCTGATTGGCAAAATTTTATTTTTTGAAACTGAAAGTAATCTGAGTAAGCACAAAACTATTTAAAAAGAGATAAGAGAACATACACCCGAAATTAAAACAAGCCCTCAGTCCAAATTAAAATATATCAGAGAAAAAAAAAAAAGCTGTATTAAAAAACCTTAAGTTATAAAAGGTTTGATAACTCCAATCAGAGCATATCAATGACATCTTAGGTTACTAGTTACAATCAAATGTGTATGTCAGAAATCATGCTATTATTCTTTAGAACAATTTAAGCTATTAATAAACAAAATACTTATACTGGATTTCTAAGCATGCAACTAACTTCATCTAGAGAAAGCATTTTCAGAACCCTTGCCAAATCATTCAGATAATTACCAAAGTGTCTTAATTACTACACGACATGCAAATCCTTGCAGTGGCCTGTTTGAATCCTTGGGGTCTGAAAGGCTCCCACACTAACCTTAATCAAAGAAAGAGAATAACAAAAATACCCATACTTTCATTAAAGCAGGTTATCAAAAGGAATTCCTTAAAATAAATACTTCAGCCGAGTCTTTTCAAATGTATTAGATACGTGCATGAAGGAAAAATCAAACCCCCAGGTCACCAAACCCACATTTCACATACAAATTTTGCCTGGCAAGTTTAAATGCCAGAGGTGGTTTACAAAGGACAAGCGATCGATCCCTCATCACAACAAACACTTGGAAACAAAACAAAAACAAGAAAAGAGAAAAGAGATGGATGATTACTTGTTTAAACAGACAAGTCAGATAATCTGGTCCTTTTATTACATATATCCTTAGTCCTTAGATGGTCCTTTCTTCTGCTATGAGGAGCAGCCAGATATTTTACAACAATAAAGAAAACACCAGTTTTTACAAGGACATAAAATGGGAATCTCCATTCTCCCTGAGGACAAGGATAAATTGAAGAGAACCAAGATAAGTGTCACAGTGTTTGACCATGGCTTGGTAAAAAGGAGCATTGCACTGTATTTTTTTCTGCACTTTTTTACTTCCAAATAGTTAAAACACTTTACTTCTGTTGTCACAAGAGCAGGTAAACCTTTGAGGCAACAGGCTGCACCTAATTTGTAGTGTCACATTCAGTGTGGGAGAGCAGCTCCCCTATAAACAACACAGTCTGGTGACTCTTGTTGAACGCTAAATAGACCATAATTGTACTTCCTGATGGATTTTTTCCATCAATGTATTTAATAATGGACTGACTAGCAAATTAATTATGCATTCATTACCCTGTGCATGTAGGATAATTCTACTCTTTTTAAAAATCCACTTGAGCAACCCTTGATTCCCAAACAGTTCTTTTTCCATAGGCTCCTTTTCCCCCTCTAAGGTAAAATTAGCTCATCTTATGTAAGAGTAAAAAACTCATGGTATTTAAAGAAATATGGGATGCTTGTGAAAGTGAAATCTAATCCAATGGGCACTCCTCATGCCTCCAAGATTATTACTCCAGAGGATGTACCAAGGATAGTCCCAAACAACAACATTCAGACACTTTTGGATCCACTTCTTCCCCTGGACTGATTTTCTGGAGACAGCTCTTGCCATGCAATTGTCACCACACAGCCTGGACAGTCACAGCCTCAGATGAGAGATTTATGCCTTGAAATGAGCCATTCTATGAAGAAATGTTGCAATTCAAGTTCAGTGCTAAGTACCAGGAAGAATTAAGATCTTTCTGTCTCTGCACACACCGTGGATTTGATTTGCAAGTGCTGTCAAAATTAGGCAATTATTTAGACTAAAAAGAAATCATTTTTCTGACTGAATTCTGCAGTCAGTTTTTCATAAATCTTTACATCTATAGCTTTAAAAGTAGGACTTGTTAATGAACAACCCAGCATCCTCTAATTCATGTGCTGTGCACAGTCTCTGGGTGGAGTGATCATGAAGGAAAGTCTCCCAGATGGCTTTGTCTGTAATCCAGCAAAATGATTGCAATATCATAAAGTGTTTTTCATGGGATGCACAGTTGCATCTTGCAGACAACCATAATGCAACATTAATTTTAAATATAGTTAAAGTCTGAAAACTCCCTATAAAAAAATTTCTCAACTATTACTTTGCAGAACAGGCACATTAACAAACAAACCAACTCTCTAAAACAGTTAAGAATTAAGAAACCCCATTTATTTCAAGGAAGCCTGAGGGTGCTTCTCCCACATAAATTTACCTTTGCATTTAACTTGAGAGTGATGAGATGCTGTCGACCACAAGAGTCTTCAGCTTTTAACCTGACGGTGGTAAGCCCAGTGTCCACGTATGCAACTCTGGAAGAGAAAGGAAACTCTTGGAGCCTGGGAAGAAGTGCAGTTTGAGAGGTGTGCAGTGATTAGTGTGTAACAAATATTAATCAGAGAAGTCCTCCATGCCAGGCAGTTGTGCTGCTGCAGATTTACTGCTGTTAATGCACCAGGCTGGTGCTTAATGCAGCCATATATCTGGGGGTTATTTACAGGCAGTGTCAGGCTCACGCTGTGGTCAGTGAGCACCGCGTTGCAGTTTTCCATCACTGGAACCTTTGACACACACAGCATGTTCCTGTCAGCCTCTACTTATGTACACATTAAACTTCCTGTCAACTCTTTGATCCATTTCTGCACTTTCTTACTCTAGCAGACTTTTATGCTCTTGATTTGCTTTGCTCCTCCACGGAGTTCTCTTTTATTATCAATACTGTTACTGTGGGAAATTCAGTGGGTATTGGTTCATATTCTGAAATTGATTTTCCGCAGGAAATAGAGCCCAAACAGGTACAAAATGAGTTATTTATGATGATTTGCCTTCCTTTCATGACAGCTTTACACTGTATTCATGTACCCTAGCAAGCAGCAAGTAGACACTAAATGTAAATAAGTTTTAAAACTTCTGCCATAATCACTGAGTCTTTGCTTAGGATGGCACTGATTTGTGCTTCCCACCACAATGAAGATGGATACAACTGTAAAATACATTGTTCTCTAGAAATGGATTCTGCTGAGCAGCTTCAGCAACTGCCAGAAAGGTTCAAACTTCTCCATATACTTACCAGTAAACTGGACATGTGGGTATTCTGGCATTTTTACTGTGTCATTCTTGTGTAAAGATAAAAAGCAGTGCAAGATAATTGCCCAACTTATCACTCAGACTGATGGAAAGGCCTGTCAGAGTTCAAAGAGAGCATTTCTTGCTGGCCTAAGTAACATTTATTTTTTTAAACCATTACACATTACAGACCAGTCACACAATTCTCTCCAGTGAAACTGGAAAGGAGTTGTAGAAGCTTGTATAAAAAAAGTAGATGTACACCAAAGGGTGGGCACAGCCTTAGAAGGAAGTGAAAAGAAAATTCCTCAATATGAGGGAACCCAAAAATCCAGATGGAAAAAGCAATAGTAGTAGTAAGAGGGGAAGGAGAGATATTATTTCATGTTTAATCCTGATTAATGCAATATTAAAGAGTCCTACAGATTTCTGTATTTGTGTGGAAAGAAAGACATATCTCAACAGAAGTGTAACTCAACTGTAGTCAAACTTGATACTAGAGCATTCTTCCTCTAATTGGGAAAAAAAAAATCATTACTCCCACTTTGCTCCAACTTTACCTCAAAATTGAATCACAGAGGTTTAGAAAGACAAGAAACTACCTTGCATCTGCTGTTGCCTGGGGTGGGGAATTCCTAAAGCAGCAGCTAAGGCACAGCTTGGATACTGCAGTGGAACACACAGCAGTGCCCAGAACAAAGCCCAGCTGGTGCCTGCAGCACGGGGAGGCTCCACCCCGAAGGAACAGAAAAATTAAGGGGATGCTGTCAAAGTGTTTGGGATTTTAAATTAGCTCTTCTGCCATTCATCTTGTTTGGCTCACTCCATTCTTTATTTATAAGAAAAGTATAGGTTATTTTAGTTTAAAATCAAACATTTTGTAGTTTCTTATTCTGCATCAGGTGGGAGGGAACCAGAGTAAAAACTGGTTTTATTTCTTAGCCAGCAATGGACATACAAATCCTAATATTTCTGAAATCCTTAAGGGTTCAGTACTTTCATAATTAGTTTGGCAACCTGACAACCTCTAGAATAAATATATGTACTAGTGTGCACATATATATATTTAAAAATATATTAAAATATAGTGACAATATGTTTACTCATATTTGTAAAGAACCTTCAAATTCAGTTTTACTGACAGTAGACAAACTTTAAAAAAAAAAAGCAAGCATTTGGAGAAGGTGCTCAGAGCACTAAGAATGGCTGCCTGGTTAATTATTTATAGAGGGATGCATCAAAGTTCTGTCCGTTTTCCAATTTTTAACTTATTTATAGATTTAAAATTCCAGTTCCGTAGGACTGGAGAAAGTTGGACAATGCTGTAAAAGTCCTATAAACTTCTTCCCATGACTGTATAAACACAGAAGGAGTTGTTTACATAGGTGATATTTCAGTTATACAAACTTTTGTTCCTCTGTAGGCTCCATCATTTCATCATTTGACATCAGTGAAATTCGAGTTGAGTATGGCACAACTACATATGAACAATGGAAATCACTGAAAGAAACTTCAGCTGATTTAACAAGGATGTTTTAACTCTTTAAATAAAAGTGGGCCTTCAAAGCAAATTCCTACTTCGTGTTAATCACATGTTATTTGTGATTAACACGTTTATCATGTTATTTATATGCAAATCACATGGGAAAACTCAAAACTGTTCTCACACCTAAGGCTTCTGGATTTCATTTAGCAAAATATACACCTGTTACAGGTAAATTACCACACAGGACTAAGGGGAAAGCAGATTTGCCTCATGGAAAAGCACAAATATAGGCTTTTATTTAACTTTTACTGAAACAATAAAGTAGCTTCTCATTCAAAGTTCTGCAACATCTTAGAAAATCTTCCATTTTAACCCCTTGAAGGAAGGCCCTGTGAGATTAACTGCATGTTATTAAAGACAGGATTCAAACATGGGGTTTTAATTCTTCCACACACAGAGACAACTCCCTTCTTCAACCCCATGCAGGTCTCCTGGAGGTGCCAGGGGAAAGGACAGAACTCTGTCCACTCCAGGCTCTCTGCTGGAGGAGCAAAGGGCTCAGGATCAGAGAACTCGCCAGTGGTGGCAGATGTGAGGGCAGTTAAAGGCTTTCAAGTCCATAAAACAAGATTCTCTGGAGATCTTTGAAAAAATCTCCACATGGCCCTTGAATACTTGATCACAATGTGTGTTCCTTCACATTCCTAGAGAAGGTCTGAGGAGAAAAACCTTGTTTTCCTCTGTAGGAGGGGGAATTAAATTTGCTCTATGAGCTCATCCGAGAGTATATGTTACTGGAATACTCTTATGAAGTTCTGGATTTACAGCTTTCCAAATTCTCCCCTCCACTCACATATTTTTTTTGGTAGATTTACCTTTCTGTGGGTTAAATATATCATATTTTTGCCTAAGGAGATCCTTTTGCTATGCAGAGCAAAATAGAACTGTTCTTTAAAAATAACTACTCTAGTTCTAAAAAATGTATGAACTGATTTTATGAAAGCACAAAGGTACACGATGATCAACCATTGCCTGTGGGAAGTCAAAAAAAAGCCTTACAAAGAAAGGAAGAGAAGGGAAAAAAAGAGAACTACAAACACTAACAGTAAATATATTTACTATATCAATAGTTTATAGGTCAAGAAGAATTGATTTCTTAGTAGTAGCATCTCACCTTTCAGCTCAGTTATTTGAGACAGAAAATATACCTTCAGTTGATATAGGTTTGTTATATTTGTTTTTAATTAAAAACAAATCAACGGAGTTTTTAAAGCAAAATCAGCTTCTGAACAGGGTAAATTAACAGAACAAGTACATTTGATATGTTCAACTCACCAAAAAGGAATGGATATGCTAAAGATAACATTTGTGAAGAAATAAAATAAACATACTTATTCCAGCCCAGTATTTCCAGATCTCTGACAAGACAGGAGTAGTATTCTGGCGGCCGTGGTACGTGCAGGTCTTGTGTGTTCTTTAAAGCAATTTCCTGTTTAAAAGAACGTTAAAAACATCATTAAGAGAGATTTCAATATTTTTGCATCTATTTAGCCATGTGATTTTTGCAATTCAATCAAAAATATTAAGCTTATGTAAAATTAACTGTACACTGCATTTGTTTTGTTATAGCCTCCAGCTAAAGCAGACAAAGAGGCTGTTTGGGAAATTACTTCAGATAGTGGTAATGAAAACATCTGCAATTTAAAAAAAACCCCACAGATGTTGACAGCACAGTCTTCAGATGCAAATATCAAATGTGCCTCTTTTTCAGCTAATAAATTTGAAGTCAAGCATCTCAACTGAATGAACATTTCAAAAGAAGGTTCTATTAAGCCCACAGCTGCCTCCTGGGCTCCACAGCCACAAAAGAAGATACATCTATGAAATCCCCCATAATATATATATATAAACTTTATACAGCAATCAAAAAACAAAATCCATTTCTCAGTTTTAACACCACAGAATCCCAAAGAATAAGTTTTGGTGCAGACAGTCATCTAGCATGTTGCGGTGTCTCAAAAAGTTTTTATCAAAAAGGTAATTCCATCTTATAAAATCAAATCATGTTTCACATTTGCGTTGTGATACTTGTTCTTTGAAAGTGTTCTTAAGTTAAAATTATGCTTACAGGAGAAGTAAATTAATGAAATTTAGAATAAAATTATTAAATTAAAATAAACTGAACTGAAATGAAAATATAACTTATAACAAAACAAGTTCAACAATCATTTCTGTCCAGTTCTCCTACACTATGTTTTTACTCTCTGCACTATCTGAGGATCATCATTTTTAATGAATTATATTTTCACTGCATTCTCATTTTCCGAGTGCTTGTGTATCCAGGCAAATGGATCGGAACAACTGTTGTGAAATATTCCAAAGTAAACATCCTCACTCAGTCCTATTCCAAGCATAGCAGAGCAGCAGCACCAGGAGGGAGTTGTGTTGCCATTTTGAAGAATACTTCTTGTGTTTTATTCCTAAAGTTAAGCTGGTTGGATGAAGAATTGTTCACTGAGAATGTTTTACTATCAGACAAGAATTGTCTGTGTAATGTTGTTAACCAAAGATTTTGCTACTCTTCAACCCCAGACTTGAAAATCTTTTAAAATAATCAAATGCAGCCTCTGAACTATAAAAAAAGCTCTCTGCATTTATTGGTTGAGTTGTCACAGGTGAAAGCACCTTGAGCAATCCACTGACTGTATAAGCCTTTGTATGACTACAAACTTTACCATCTGGACAATACCAGGAATTCCAAGAAAATCACTGTAGAGAGGATGGCTCTATATTGAGATTCCTTGCTGGGATCTCAATTTTTCTATAAAAATTTCCCAAGAATACAGTCACTTAAAATCTTAAACGATATTTATACAAATAGTCCACGAACAGCACACATACAAAATCATCTCTTCTTAAAAAAATCTATCCATAGCCATAAATCTATCAAACAGTAACCTGTAAACCAATGAGAGTGAAACCCAAAGCTCTCAGAACATCCCATCTCCCACAAATATAGTTTGTCACCTACCAAAACAGTTCTCAGCTCCACCATAAAACTGACAAGGTCTGGGCAGCTGTGGAGCCTCTGGAGGAAACACAGCATTAGTTCATTTTCTTCAACTCATAACTTGTAGTAGTTCAGTCCAACTTTGTAGTATTGTCAAATCAACAAAGAAAAAAAACCCCAACTGTATATCACAAGTTTAAATATTTCAATTACAGAGCAGATCTCCCAGAGCACGGGAAACTTTACTGAAAAAATCTTTACTTGACTCTATACAACACAGGGTGAATTAGGTCTGTCAATAATTGACATGAATTCTCTTCTTTGCATTATGAACAACTTGTAAAAAAATAAATATATATAAAAAAGACAAACTCTGTTTCTAATTGAGAGATTAAAGAAAAATTCCAGTAAAATGTCAGCAGTCATTTATTAAAAATTGTTCTAGCTCAATCTTGAAAAAAGAATAAAGCTTGAATAAAAATAAATATTTACTAAATTCTCAGGCATTTGAAAATAAATCTTGGCTACACGACGAAAGGGTTCCTTAACACTTTTAGAATAGCTGTATGAGCATAACCTCTTCAGAAATATTATAAATACACATTTAAGAATGTATTTGAAAGAAATGGTTTTAAACTTGTATACCTGCTTTAAAATATGCTGATATCGATGCAGGATCTTCTTCAGACTCCAGCTGCACTCTATCCTGAACAAACAGTAATTTATATAAATTTTAAATTCACAGTACAGGATTTTTAAAAGAGAGCAGAAAACCTGCTGCACACAACAGCACAACAGTTTTCCTCAAAAAAACCCAAAGGAAGTAAACAATACTTCAAAACAGCTTTGAGTTTCTTGTTCAAAGTCACTTAAAACTTCCAAATGTCACTATCCCAAAGCCCATTAAAAATTAAGCATTTACCTGCAAAAGCCTGTTCTTTGCTGGAGACAACAACATAATTCTTGCAAGCTACTGTGCAGTCATAAAATACACTAATATTTAAAAGTGATAACCTGGAAATGTCAAAGTTACCTATAATGCAGTTTTAATTACCCAGCCTCGACTGTAATAAAGCCCTGGAACACCCCATCTGCTCACGGTTCAGAGCGGGCTGGCCTGGGTGGAAGTGTGGGATACAAAGTTAAAGGCTAATCCAGGGATGTGGATGAGCTCCTTCCACCCCCCTTCCCAAACACTGCTGTGATAAACACAGTAATGAGAGCAGAGCTTTTAGAGAAAAGTTGGGCACTGCAAATTAACACACAACCAGGAAAGAGAAAATAAGTACAACTTTGCACTGAATTTTCTGTTTCCCAAACTGTGACATATAAACAATCTAAGTAACTTTTTTTCCTGAATACATTGCTTCATATGTAAATACAACCAATTAATTGCAACAAGTTTCAAAGTTAAGTAACAACAAAATATATTGATATAGGCAATGTTTATTGTCAGCATTTATTAACACTGATGCTGTGCAGTTTTGTTGCAAAGTTAAGTTGAAACCAGTAAGAATTAATTAATAACACTGATATTGGAAGAAAGAATGATTCATGTGCATGTCCATCATTGCTTTTATCAAAATAAACTTTGTTATGTCACACTTAGAAATTGCTTTTGTAAAACTCTCTCACCTTGCATTTTTCAGTTGCAAATCCTCTGGTAACAATACCCTGATGTGGAAATCTCTACCCTTGAAAAGAAACAGTTAATAGGAAGGTCAGCAAAGAAAAATATTAGAGGCTTCTGGGAAGTGTTCCCCATCAGATCAGCTACTAAGAAAGAAACTTTGTCTTATCTGATTTGCAGGAACATTATTCGGAATTTCTTTATTTAGGGATAAAAAGAAGCATGAATGACAGGTACAAGTAATGCAGATTTTAATTCTGAAGTTGAAACACTCTTGATGTTTAATTCACAATATTCAGTAAAAACTCTTCAGGACATCACATCTCATAAAGCAAAAATAACACCTTTCAGAAGAAAAATAAACATTATCTAAATCTGGACAAAACCAAAAAACATAATTTGATCTAAGTCATGCTGCAGCACATGAAAGTCTGTCTTCAACTCAACTAAAAGACAAAACAGACTCATGTCATAAAAGTACTACAGTAAAAAGAAACTTGGGCACTGATCCACAGCACATTCCAGCGAGGTTTTAGAAACTGTAAACAAGAACAGTCCCAAGCACATGAATGAATTTTTTTTCCTCTTAGTGCAATCCATAGGGGGCAGCTCCCAAATGCCACCCACTTGTGTTTTCAGTCCCTCTTGAGATCTTCCTTCTACTTTCTTATGGGATGATCAAACTAAAACTGGCATCAAGAAGGTTTGTGAGTAGGCTCAGCTCCTCCCTGAAGCGAAGAGGGCAGATAACTCATGTCAAAACTTTAATTCCAGATGCTGTTCCAGCTCAGCACACTTTGAAGTATGGAGTGCTGGGTCCCCAGCACAGGAAAGGTTTGGACATACTGGAGTAAGTTCAGTGAGGAGATATGAAGGTGAATTAGAGCTCAAAACACCTCTGACACCAGCAGAGCCTGAGGGAGCTGGGACTGGTTAGCCTGGAGAAAAGAAGGATCAGGGAAGGATCCTGTCAGTGAGTACAAATACCTAGTGGAGGAGCAATAAAAAAGGTATAGCCAGATCTGAGTGACACACACTGACAGGATGAGAGGTGATGGATATAAGCTGAAATACAGGACATTTCACCCAAATGCAATGGAAAAACCCCAGTAACTATGAGAGGAGTCAAAGACTAGAACAGGCCATCCAAGAGGTTGCACAGTCTCTGTGCTTGGAGAATTTCACAACCTGATTGCAAATGGTCTTGAGCTCCAGGTGATCCTGGCAGAGGAACTCCAGAGGTTCCTTTCAGTCTCACTGTTTCTGTGATGCTCATGAGGAAAAAAGCAAGGTCCCTGTTTCAGGGCTGAATAGAGCCCACTCACCAACACCACCAGTTGCTTCCAAAGGTGATGTTTAGTGTAAGCCTAATTTAAGTATATAACCTCAGACATTACGGCCTTAGCACTCACTAAAAATCACCTCTGAGAACAGACACTCACACCTGTATCTTAACCTTCCCATTAATTCCAGGATGAATTGTAACACACAGAGCACTTCCAAAGCCGCAGTTGTTAAAGTAATGCAAACATAAGCACACCTTTGCACATGTCTAGTGAAACTTCAATAAAAAAATCACCCAAACCCCTTTGGATTTTGACAACAAAACTGCAATTTTGACCACGCGAGTGTGATACAGCCCACACCTTTTGACTTTTACTTATTTTTAGAGGAGGAGAAAAACACACTACTTCTAAATTAAAATACGCCTGTTCAGAGCTGTGTCTGTGTGATATTTCGGTGCTCCAGGGCTGCCGGGTCACCGCACAGTGCCTGCGATGGCAGAGCTGTGCTGAGAGCACCCCTCTGCCCCTGTCCCAGGAGCTGTTCTGCTCCCTGCACCGCGTTTACCACATCCCGAGGGACGATGCCGCCGCTTCAGCTGAAGCCTCACAAGTTACGTGAAAGCAAAACACCCACAGTCAGACGTTTGCGTCAACTTTTACCACAGGCCGCGGGCGCGGGCACATTCAACGTGCCCCAAAAACATCTTCTGGCAGCGCGACAAATCCAGCCCGGGAGGTACCAGGGAGCCATTTTCCGGGCAAACCCGGGAATCTATCTAAGTAAAAATACTGTAATATCAGGGACGGCAGGGAAACGGCATTTCCAGACCCACATTCCCAGCGGCTCGGCCGAGAAGCCGCCAGCCCTTGGCACGGCGGGAAGCGCTGCCCCCTCAGACGCGGCGGGGCGGGAAGTGCCCCCCCCACCCCCGCCTCACACCTGGGCCGCGGTACCTGGGCGGTGACGAAGCCCTCGTAGGCGGTTCCCCAGCGGTTCTGAGGCAGCAGCAGCGGGAATTGCCGGAGCAGCGCCCGCGATCCCGCCATGTTCCCGCCCGGCGCCGCCGCCGTTCGAATGCGAGACCCCGCCCGCGGCGGCGGGCGGCGCACGCGCCTGAGGGGACGGGAGGGCGGGGCGGGCCCGTGAGGGGAGGAGCGGGAACCTGAGGGGGAGCGAAGCCTGAAAGGAGCGCACCTGAGGGGAGGAGCGCACCTGAGGGGAGCGCGCCTAAAAGGACGGCACCTGAGGGGAGGCGCACCTGAAGGGGGGGCGAGGGGAGGCGCGCGTGCCGCTGAGGGGGAGAGCGCACCTGAGGGTGGCGGGGGGAGGGGGGGGGAAGAGCGCGTGCCGCTGAGGGGAGGCGCGCGCGCCGCGCTGAGGGGCCTGCGCGTGCCTCTGAGGGGGGCAGCGCGTGCCGCTGAGGGGGCGCGAGCGTGCCGAGGGCGGGAAACCGTGAGGGAGAGACCGCCACACACACAAACACACACAGACACACACCCGGCCCCTCCCAGAGCTCGTAAGGTGAAACTCCCACAGAACCCCGAGGAGCAGCCCCGGCTTCTCTCCCACAGCGAGGAGTGGCTTTTCCAGAGCGCTCGGGAGCGCGGCTTTCCCTGGAGCAGAGCCGGGACGGGGGTTTTCCTCGCGCTTCAGCGCATCCTGAGGGGACGCGCGCCCTGGATTAAGTAAGGGGTAACTATTAAGTAAGGATAGCTATTAAGCCACGCTCGTAGCAGTCAGCTGGCTGTGCCAAGCAGGTTGCAGTGCCACCCAAGGCAAAGGGCTTCTTCTGACTCGATTTATGCGTTCTTTTTTAAAAATTGTATGCTGTTTCCCGCCACAGAATGTCGAGGGTAATAAAAACTCTTCTGCCCCCTCACACGGGCGTTGGGATAAAAACCTCCCTCTCTTTTCAGGGTGGGCTGCTGCCAGGACCTGACAGCCACTGTGTTTGGGGAAACCTGAGGAGAAAAATTAAACACTGGTATTTATTGTGTATTTTTCAGAAAGCATTAAGACTTCGCATACCACTGAGGCTGAGCATCATGCAAGATCTGTCAAGAGTCAATTTTTGCCTAAAGAGACGCGTTTGGGAAAGAAAACACAGCTTTCTGCCTAATTAGACAGGTTTGAGACAGAAAACACAGTTTTACAAAGGGATAGGTGAATTAGCAAAGAAAACAACAAAAAAAAGTTGAAAATCACCTGAGAAAAACACATTGTAGCAGGTCAGTTCTTTGCAAGAATGTTGCTCCAGGCACCCTTTTGGTCCTGGAAACCTTGGACAATGCAAGACTGTTACCAATACAAGAAACATTTTCTAAATACATGTGCAAAAAAGTTTTAAATACCGGTGTTCAACCCCTACACCCACAGTTGTTCGTGTGCCTTTCACTACCCAGCCATGAGAAGTTAATCCAACGCTTCATAGCAAATTGCATCCTTCATCTTATCTATTAACTTAATTTTGACCAAAACATTTATTCTCTTGAGCTGTTTTCTCTCAGTATGCAATACACTAGAAATCCCCTTATTTAATTGTGAAGTATCTCTGTACTTTACCGGGTACACTGATTATTTCTTAATTGCATCAGATGCAACACTGAAAAGGGTTTTTTTTTTCTTCTTCTTTTGGCCATGTTTATCATAGTCCCTGTCATAAAAAGAATGTCAAGTCACTTTAGCCAAGTGCAGTTATGGAGCAATGTATCTAAATAAAAATACTGTAATATATCAGAACCATAAAACATTTTAGTACTGAGGCCCAGAAAACATTAATCATTATCTTACACTGTACATACTGCACACTTTTAAACTTTGTATAAAAATGCAATTACTTGAAACGTCATGTTACTTCGAGCAGGCACACAGACCTTCAGCATTTTTAAAGCAGGAAAGCAACAAAACAAGAGCAAGAGAGAAGTTGGACAGGTCTGCTTCTCAAGGGAAAGGAGTACTGATCTGATCTTTCAGCCACAGGCCACATTTACCAATTTAATTACAATTACTGTTTGCCAGAGGAATCATAATGGAGCGTGTTATTAATTATTTGTCCATTCAAATATCACATTCAACCAGTTAAGTCATCAATAAAATCATGACTTGACTGGCAAAACAAACAATGTGCAGAGCAAACACTTGAAAGCATCCATTTCTAGGCTAGATGTTGTTAGTAAAGTTATCCCACAAACAGCCAGACAGCAAATACGTTCACTGAACACAGAATTCACATGGAACCACATTGAAATAATGTGGATTTTTTTTTTTTAAGAGTTGGGTTTTTTTTATTTATGTAAGGATATTATGAAAGGCAAGAAAATAACAGTGCATTGTTCTCTAGCACTAGTGTCTCCAGCATAAAACAATCAATTTAAAGCCATGCAAAATGGCTAATACTGTTATTGCTGTCCTTTTTCATAACTCAGTGTCATTTTATTCATCTTGCCCCTAAGAAATGACCTTTTCTGTGCATATCCCCACCTTTTTCCACAAATCCCCTGAGTGACAGAATCTCATCCTAATCCCATTTCCATTTAGATGTTGCAGAAAAGCACTGTAGACCTTCGAGGGAATAAGTAATCATAATGGAAAGATAATAATATGTTTATGAAATCTGGATTTTTATAATAGCAAATTGAAAAATTACAATAGTATTTCAAGCCACTGAAGGTCAATGTTACCAAGAGCAAAAAGCCATTGATCAAGTGTGTTTAAAGTTTCCCACTTTAGGTTAATTTTTAACACAAAACATCTCTATTTCAGAGAGCAGCACCTCTCTTCTGAGGCGATTCCTCATCTACCTAGTGATCACAAAACCTGGTGTTAAAGCCAGTAGTTGTTTGTAAGGAAAAATATACTCAGTATTTTTCTACAGACCTAAAAAGCACAGAACAACTTCACGAGGCCTCTACAAAATGGACCATAGGCCACAGTTTAAGAACTCCAGCCCTTAGTAATTCTTAAAAGTAAAAACATATGTAAAATCTCATAAATAAATATATAAAAATACTCCTTTCAATATTATGCAGTTGTACCTTTTTCTGCTAGAGGTAAATTTGCTTGCTTATGCCTAAAAAGAACACCAAAGTTGTACATACAGAAAACCACTGAAACTTCACTGAGGTCCTAGATTAAAAAAAAAACATAACCAATCAAAAACTAGCACTTAAACCATGTCCTCAGCTAATTAAGGAGTTTCCCCCTCTCTTTGAGCTTCAGCTTTCCACTGTTTTAAAACCCAGCTCAGACACACCAACAGCCACTGGGACTAGATGGAGTTTTCTGTGACTGAACCAGCAGTTGTTACCTGATAAAGATTTTCTTGTACTCCTGCTCCCCCTGAAGGGCTCAGTGCTGCTGCCAAGGGCAGTTGTGTTCTTCCCTTCACCCTGTTCCTGGCCCTGCAGCCTCTTCTCTCTTATCCCAGCTCTGGTTCCCAATTGTGCAATGGGACAGTTCATTCACTGATGAAAAGCTAATTGGGGTTTTTTTGCTGAGTTCATTTTAGGCTGGCCTGACTTGCTGAAGCTGTGACACAAGCACCAGAGCTGACACGAAGAAAGCATCGGGAGAGCACATCCACACACCAAACCACCCCTTTTGGAGACAAGATGTGAGATCAGACACTGCAAGAGCACACAGGTGAGAACCACCACCCTGCCAGGCCACAGCCTGTCACTGGCACAGTTTTTGTATGCACTACTTCCTTTGTTTATCCAAGAAATTCTTGCTACAAAGTACTTCTTGATGAATTTCCATGGGGATCTCCCAGCGGCCTTCCTGTACCTGAAGGGTGCCTACAAGGAAGCTGGAGAGGGATCCTTCATCAGGAAGTGTAGTGAGAGGACAAGGGGGATTGTCTTCAAACTGAGACAGAGTAGTTTAGGTTAGATGTTAGGAAGAAATTCCTCCCTGTGAGGGTGGGGAGGCCCTGGCACAGGTTGCCCAGGGAAGCTGTGGCTGCCCCACCCCTGGGGCAGAGCATGGAGCAACCTGGGCTAGTGGAAGGTGTCCCTGCCCATAGCAGGGTTTGGAACTGGATGGTCTTTAAGGCTCCTTCCAACTCAAACCATTCTATGATTCCATTTGCATTGAGTTGTCTACACTGTGCTTTTATTTCTGGCTGTTTTAAAACCATTTTGCATCATTAAGAATTCACAAACTGGGAGACTCTGGACATGTCCATCATAACACCTTGGTAGAAAGCAGTGCAGCTGCTCACAAATGTGTCTGAAGCAGCAAATGCCTCTGTTGTGATGATTCTGAATGCAATTATTCTTCTGTATTTAAGAAGTTTAGCATTAGAGAACATATGCAGGTGACCAAACCAAGAACACCGATTATCTCTTGACAGCATGAACTGATTAAGTAAGCACTGGCTATTTTAAACTGTTTTGGGGCTAGAGGGCTCTCAAGGCTCGTGTTCATCTTTGTACATATAGGCAAAAGCTTGGAACTGTTTTTGGCAGATGACCCAGCAAAATGAGTGATGCATGAGCATTAATGCATTCACATAAATTAACTCTGCACATAAAAAACACAGCCTTTAAGCCCAATTACATCTTTCCCAATTGTACAAATACTCCCTTTGCAGTCAGTGGCAACTCAAGAAGACGAGGCCAATCCATATGTTATATTGATTCTAAAGGCACGAGAGTCTGCAGTTAATCCCTTTCAAACCTTGCAGAGCACAAACTCTTGGAGATCTTCCAAGCAGCCAGATGAAAGTTGCCTTTCAGAACCAGGGAATGTATGTTGTTAGAGATTCCAAAACATGCTGGGCCAAAATCTGGCCTTGCTTTTACCAGTGTAAAGTGGGACTATTTCAGGAGAGATGTGTATTCATCCACCAACACAAAACTGATCATTATCTCACAAAAAGGTCTGTGATGCTAACACGCCTTCCTGTTAATTCCCAAGAAAATCAAAGCACAGATCAACAAATGAAAAGGCCTTCTTCTAGCTAGAGATGTTGTAACCCCCAAAACGTTTGTCAGACACTTCATAACAATTCTGAGAGTCTTCTGTGCTGCTAATAGGTTTTACCTGGAGATAATTCAGATACCAGAGTGATGACTGACAGCGTAAATCTTCCCAGATAAGTAAAAAACTGAGCATCATTTTCCAGGTTTCTTCACCACAATTTAGAAAACTTACATAATAAAAACAAATTTTGAAACGAAACAAAATATGTTTTTATAAATTGCACGGTGAAATAAGCAAGCAAAACTAAGAGGACCTAACTTTGCATTTTTAAATGATAAAACTACTCCCTATTCCCAGATTGCTGGGAAGTGCTAAGTATACTCTCAGTAAACACTAATTTTCAGAACACTAAGGTCAGGATTTTTAGAACACCAAGGTCAGAAAGGTAAGTCCTTGCTACCCAGTCCATTAAGATTATGTTTAACTACTTTTAACTCTTGAACCATTTTAAAGAGTTGCCTCAAAACTCGCAGAAAAAAAACAGCCATTATTGACAAATACCCATTGATAAATTGGGGAAAATCCATTATTTGTCTCAGAAGCAAAGAAATTTTAAATGTAGACAGAATAACAATATTATGGGATTATGGCTTAAAAATTCACTGTATATGCACCTTATGAAGAAAGTTACTCTTTGTCTAAATTAAGAAAGCCAGAAGATGCAACTCCAGTGATTTTACACTAAGCAAAGAGTTTATATTATAAAGTTAAATGTAATAAAGTGCTATAACTGTTTTAAGTAAGTGCCTAAGAGGAGCACAGACTATAAGAGCAGAGAATACTGTGCAGAAATTAGAAAGAAAAGAGAAAAATACATAATGTATGATGTAAAAAAGAAACAGATAACGAAAATTAAAAGGATTTTACTAGAGGAAAACAATTTCATTTTATTGTAAAGCTCTAAATGAATAAAATAAAGTCTTTGAATGTGAAGATGATTAAAAAGACAAAATCATTAGCTAAAGATATTTACAAGTTTAGACTTTCATTTTGATTGTAATTTTAATTAGCTGGACACTAGGGGGGATGAAAATGAAAGCCTACATCATCTACTTACTCTTTAAATTGCATTCCACCTTAATTTTCTGCTCTTCAGTTCTTAATTTTCTCTATTTTTGTTCTAACTAATCCGGTTATCAGAATAAAGTGATTTTCTCTCAGCCAGGTTTAACATTCAGTATTTGAGTCTGTGAACCAGAAGTTCATCCCACTGCTTCAATTTTTATTCTTTCAATAGCAGAAACTCTCCAGGAAACTTTTCCAGTCTTTTGTCTGTTCAGCAGGGTGCTTTATGTACACACGACAGTTATGTAGCTAATAAGAAAGGATTCTATTTTAAAAATAATTATGTTCCATTTACACAGTTTCCCATGAAATTTACTCATAAAATGCAGGATGCACCGAAAGATTAAATGCCATTTTCCTCTTCATTAAAGCCATTTTTCTAAATGTAACTGAGTTATTTGCCTTTTTGTCTTGAAGGAACCACATCCCCAAGCAGAGGTTAGACTCAGTTTGTTCTTAAACAAAAGAACTAATTCCATCTAGGCTGTCTCTGCAGGGCACAGTTAACTCCCAGCTTTGTGCCCCCGTGTCAGAGCAGGACAGACAGACACCCCTTCCGTGCAGAGCTGCACTGCTGAAAGCACTGAGGACACTGTTGGCCCAGCTGTCCCTTCTGTGCCCAAACCCCTTCTCCTTCAGAACACAGGAGATCTTCCTGCTTCTACCAAAGCCGTCCAGGCTGATTTAAACACTCAATGAAGGCACTTTAAACAGATGACATGGCCTTTTCCAGACAAGCTCTGGAAGCACAAATCCAGAGCTGAGGTGCCTGCAGCAGGTGCACGGGCAAGACAGTCCAGTCACCACGTGAGCATCCTATCAAGCCTTCTCTCTTTGAAGGATTCCTCAGTTCCTGCCTTGCCCTGGAGATGACCTGTTATCAACTAACTTGGGATTCTTCTGCAAGTTGACTTGCTGGCCCATCTGGGTGTAACAGCACCATCAGCACATCAGGGCTTTCATCTGCACTGCACATGGAAAATATCTTGTGAAAGGGAGCAAAAGCTTCTCTTTCAGCCCTTAACCAGGTTAGCTGGTTTGGGCCAAAAGTATCTGCACTGCAATTGATGTTTTCTCTTAAAGGGCAGCAGGAGAGTTAATGTTATCTCAGTAAGTCCTTGTTTCTTTTCAAAAAAAATTCCTTTAGGAGAAATTCAGTCCTAAGAGATGTCTTATACACCACTCTTACATTGGCTGGATAAAAAACAGCAAGCGCGGTTTGATCTTGACAAGATAATTTTATTTCTTTGTTTAAAGCAGTACATTTACAGGCTGTCTTGCCCTGTCTTCTTCTGAGGAAGGTTCACTCAAGGCCTTTTTCTAAGAGTTTCCACTGAGAGTATAAACAACCTTCAACAAAGCCTACAAACACCTCTCTGTGCCTGAGAGTTCTTCTCATTTTAGAGCCATTTCAGTTCACATCAGCATTGTGCTTTTGAAGTGAGTCTCTGATTGTCCTGGTGTCCTGTACTTTGATTCTCATCATGATGTGGTATTGAAGCACATGAACCAAATTCCTTTTGGATTAAACTGAAGTGGAAAATGCTGAAATGCATCTAATGCAGCCCAGCTGCAAATGGCCATTCAGTCAAATGAACCCAACTACAGCTTTTTTAAAGCAAAAAGAAGAAAAGCATGACATGGACATCACACCCTCATCAACACATATTTTACTTTAAATTCACACTCCTCCTGGTCCATAAACACTGTTAATGCAGATGCAAGTTTAAGGATAATCTACTTCAAATTCAGCACTTTCCTGTTTCCAGTTTTTCTTCTCTCTCTTTTCTGGAATTCCATGTTCCTCATCTAGCCACTCTCTCCCAGCTAATTCTAACAGGTTCAGAACTCTGGCAAGATACAGTTGTCTGTTCCCTGGGCAGAACAGCCAATTGTAAATGTTTTATTTAAAACTAAAGGTCCAATTACAGGTCCAATTTATGATCTCAGCCGAGCCAATATAAATCTGATCTAGTTCATTGCCTTTAACCTGCCTGCAGTAGCTTTATTCCAGATTTCCTCACGTGTAATGAGATTGAGTTCAGACAATGGCTCTGATTATTACCTTTCAAAGAATTAACTAGTAATATAAGCTGCAATGCAGAGTCCTTCCACCTTTGAAACAAGGCTTCATAATTGTCACTTGTGGGTCAAAAGCATATATTCAGTCCAACAGTGCTTCAAGGACCAAAGTGCTTTAAAGATTTTACTTAAGAAAGTGAGAGGTGGGCATGCAAAGACATGAAGATTTCAACAACACCGTGTGAAAATAAGGACAAAAATTTTGATTTTGGTTTTTTCCTTTCCCAGTACATTCCTTTATTCTTATGGCAACATACTTGTGTCATTAAATATGTAATAGAAATCTATATGCAGTTTGGGTTGGGTTTGTTTGGTTTTTTTTTTTAAACACTTAGGAAGAAAACACCATCTCATTTTTTGGCCTTTTTGCAGAATGTGGTTAAAAATCCCAAGTAGGCACATATGGCTTCCATAGTGCACACAGCTACTGAAGAAGTCAGTACTGCATAGTCCCTTTTCAAATCAGAACTTAAAGTATGTTTGCAAGTTTTAGGTTCAACATCAAATGTTTTTATTCGGTTGAGGGTTTTGATTTTGGGGGATTTTTTCAGATTTTTTAAACTTCATGCAGTTCAGTGATGTCAGATCTCACAAATAATTCAATGCTAGTTTTCTTTTGGGCTTCCTCAGTCAGTCCCCTGGTTTCTATGATAACTACTTGTGAATTCAGAATAAGGAAATAATTATTCTTATAGTTAACCTGCTTGTGTTAAAGAGCCCAGTTACCATGACTATTTACCCTTCCCCATATCCAAGAAAAATATTTAAGTAAACACGTAAAAAATATTTATTTCAGAGCTGTCCACATCAGGTACAGGTATAAGTAGGTGCTATCCTCAGAGAAACTTTGATCCAAAATTCGTAGATATCTCACTTTACTGCAGGGATTTTTATTTCAATCCCATTACCTAGAAAGAGGTGAATAAGTGGATAAATGCTCTACCCAGATCATGTGCTGGTAGTTGATTTTCAGAGTCTACAAGGGAACAGAGACAGAAACTGTCAACAGCAAGAGCCACATCCAGCAAAGCACAAAGGGACTGAGCACGGGGTTAAACCAGGATTCACTCCTTAATACTCAAATGACACTACATACAATGCATTAGATATATAATATTAGAGGTATATAATAAAAAAGCACGTTTCAATCAGAGCTAAAGGTGAAATTCTTGACAGTGACAAAATTTTCTTGCCCAGACTCAGAACACAACATAACCCAACACAGCTCTCTCACCTTCTGAGCTTGTTCTGGCCCTGGGTTTAAATCTGTGCTTGAAACTAGTTTCACGTGCAGTAATCACAGAAAGAAAACACGTGCGGGGATATAACTTTATAAAGAAACAACAAAACTGAAACAGGTTTAGAGAATTATCCACCAAATTGCACTTTTAAGAATGGCTATTAAAATGTTGATGAAAGAATGTAAGATGATGAGTCAGGGACACTAAAAGACCAAACGCTCGGGTTCTACAAGATATTACACTGAGTACTAAGAATTTCACTTTATAACCCAATGTGATTAAACAACATACTGCTGAAAATGCAGATGTTATACTACTACAGTAAAAAAAAAAAAGTCATTTTTTAAAGATGTTTCTAATTAAATCATGAAAGACCACAAAGAAAACAGGGAGGGGCTTTGCTATGAGCGCAGTCATATAAAAGGACTCGGATTTGGGGATGATCTTTGAAGTTTCCTTCTTCAAACTACATGGCCTTGAAGCTATTGAAAGCTTGAAAGATTTTCCTGGTGAAACTGTGTAATTTTACAGTTATGTTGTACTAGTCAGTGATCTGTGTGAGCTGTTTGTAAGGAAGGATTATTTTTAAGGAAAATCTGTTTTCAGGTTGACCTTGGATTCCTATTTCTAAGGCAGCTAAAGAGAAGGCAACATTCACAGCAGTGCAAATTGCTGCCAGGAATGTAACATTCAAATCTCAGTTAAGCCTGTTTTAAAATGGCAGTGATAAATAGAACACTCACAATAACTCACCAATTTCTCAAAACAGAAACGTTGATATAAAATAAGGTTTCAGCGAGGACAGAGGGATTTATCAAAATAATCATTTGTATAGGGGGTATTCTTTATTTTAAACTAATCCTGATTTCTTGGGCATTAGGCAAGAAACTTTTCTGCACTAAAAGAAGTTTGAGAATTCTGTTACCTCAGTATTTAGTAGTTCAGTATCTGAGCAGTGAGTGGCTGTTAGATTTGCTGCATATATTTACCACTGTGACATTTCACGCCACTTATAAAACTATTATGTTGCCTTTATTTATAACATCACTAACTATTTCTGAATTCCTTATTTATGCTCATTTAGAGGTTGCAAGTATTATGCAGTCTTTCCTCATATCTCTTCATCCTGATAGGATTATTTTTCTTTGCTTTTTTTTTTTTTTTAATTGTTTAGCCTAGAACTTTGTATTTATTGGGAGAAATGTTTTTTGGGTTTTTTTAACTCAGATGCTTTTCCGTTATTTTCCCAAAACTTGCTATTTCATTTAGAAATATTGTTGTTCTTAATGTAAATATTCACTGTTTTTGTAATATCCAAATTACTTGATACAATAATCCTGTAAAATGATAAGTAATTATACCAAGATATTCACCCTCCAAACAATTACATGGACCACAAAATTTACTAGATTTTTAAAATATTTTACAAGAATATTTATTTTATACTTCTCTAGACTGTATTTATTTAAAATGTTATTGTAATAATTTTTTTTCTAGAGTTACCATTTTTCAGTAAGAGAAAAACATCAGCAATCATTCTGACAAACTTTCTCTAGATATTTTTATAAAGAGCAAATAACATTTTTATAGGAAAATAAATCTGAAAAGGTTATTGTCTTCTTCACAATATTTATAAGCTTCAATTACAAAAAAAAAAAAAACAAAAAACAGAAATAAATGGTTTCAATCCAGCCTTTCAAATGTTCCATGAGTGAAATATTCACATCTTAAACATTCTGTCACATGTATGTTCAAAATATCACTTAGTGTTTTTCCCATGCTTCCAGTTTAAAAAGAAAATGTTTCCATTTCAATAAATTTTTGGGGTAGATAAATGTTTATTTGACTTCCTTTTTTTCCCTAACTCTCCAGCAATTTCTGGTTGCAACGAAATACTCAACAGACCTCGAAACCCTCCGTGCTTCTGACTTCTTCCAGGAAAATTTGGGAGCGCCTCAGCTGCTTCTGGGGTCACAAAATTCCTTCCAGCACGAGGAACAGTGGTAAGTTCATACTTAAAAAGCTCTACTTTTGTCAAAATCTCATTTATTTATGACACTTCATATATAATTTGATCAGTTGGTGTTTAAAAATTCTTCCCCAAACTGACATCTCACATCTTGGCACGTTCTGACTCACAGGTCCTCAACAAAACACATAAAGTATTTCTTCCCATTTTAAAGACAACCCAAAGCAAAACCCCCAACCATTTAAACAGAAATTCGTTGGGAAAATTAAATGTGTTCAACAACACCATCCTAAAACACCTGATATTTGAAATCTATGGTAAATTTCAGGAACATTTTTACTCTTCTCCCTACATTACCTCACTTGGATCATTTGTCTTTCAAAGGAGTAGTAAACCTTAATTTGCTTTAGCAGCTTTGAATGGATTTTTATTGTTTCTTACCACAGCCTTTCAACTCTAGTAATTTGCAAACTAAATATGAACTGCAAAACTCAATCAATCCTGTAGTATTCTTTTAATATCAATTTTTGTGTAATTAGCCCCCAAACTGTGTTCAATTACTGACAATTATTCTGATGCACTTTGAGGGACAACACTAATTTCACACTTAGCAGCATTTTAAAAGGAAGGTGATTCAAACACTATATAAAAAAAGTCCCTCTCTCAGTACAGTCTCTCTGCTCAATTCAGCGTTGTTGCAGACTTTGGGAGAAAAACAGGATTCCACTGTGGTACAACAGCAGAGCTCAGGTTTTACAAACCCACACGTGTGTGTGGTTCTGTCTGGCTGTGGTTTGTTACATTTGTTGCTATAACACCAACTAGGCCTGTTATAAGCTTGGCCGTGCTCTTTTCAAACCAATAAAATTATGGGAAAATCCGCCTAAATTGATGCACCACATGAAGACTAATGATTAAAGTGATGCAATCAGGGGCTCTTACATTCAGATTTCTTTCTCAAGTTTTCCTACAGATATTAAGAACATCCCTCTTAGAACTGTTGCAAGGTGCCTTCCCTCAGGTTATAAAATCATGTTTTGTCACCTTCAGCCCATTCCTTCTCCCTGTCCTGTAAGAATACAAGTGGAAGGGGTTGGTGATGTCATTGTGGTTCCATGGTAATGATATACAGCTCCTGTTCCACTGGGGCCACTGGAACTATCAGTCACTTTGTAGGGACAAATTATTTTTGTTACATCCATTTTGTTGTTGGACTCTCTGATGGATCCTGTGACAACTGGAAATTCTATTTATTTATGTGCATATTTAAAAGGTTGTCAGTGGAGCCCAGAGCATTGACTGGGTACTCTTATTAGAGAGCAGTAAATATCCAAATAAAGAAATAAATCAAATGACACCTTCCTCAAACGAGAGTTACAAAATGGAGCTAACAAATATTGATAAGCAGCAGTCTTCAGAAGACCTTCTAAATTATGCTCTGAAGTTTAAGCAGAGGAGACAAGGAAACAGAAGAGTTATTGTCAAAACAGCAGGCACACACTTAACAACAAAAATAACAACCTTTTGCTGGTAAATGACAGCCAGTCTCGGCTCTAGTGTATATCTCAATGATATGAAGGGAAGTTAGATTGTAAATAAACTTGTATGCACTGCAAGTCACCAGGAAAAAGTCAAAACTTTATAAAACTGTAGGAGTCAACTACAGACCGTGCCAGTGACTGCTGAGGTAACAGGAGCAACAACAGGAGAATGTCATAATAAAAGGAGGCCCCAAATCATGCTCAGTCAGCAGCACTGGCAAAAAACGAGACCTGACTTGGGGGAAAAAGGTGACCAAAATGCCATGGAGCCCCTGCAGGACAGGAAAAAATGATGACTGCTGGCTAAGTGGGACCTGTCTGGGGAAAAGGGGGAGCTGTGCTGGGAAAGGTGTATTAAAATGCAGAATAACCCAAAGCCCAGTGAAGGCTATGAAATTTGTTTCTGCTGACTCGGGAGGTGTCGGAGAATGAACCCCCAGGTGACAGCAGCAGCCTCAGAAGCTTTTGCAGACTAAGGAAAGGTAAGATTTTTGCAGTATTGCACCGTTTGTGAAGGTACAGGATCGAAAACAAGTAGTAATGCTGAACAATCCACAACTTCACAGCAGCAGTTATCCTCTCTAGAGTGAATAATGGCTGTGAGAATTAGGGGCAAAAAGCACTTATGACAAACACTAGAATGTTTCTGACAAGAACATTTACACTTTATCAGGTAAGTAATATGATTTTAAAATTGGGTTGCTCTAATTAACTAATTGCCGTGATTTTTAGCATTGTAGATCTAAACTATTATGTGAATTAAGTAAATTAAAACGAGTTAGCTAAACCTTTTATGTATTTGCACAAGAGATCACTAAGGATATTTTGTACTGGATCACAAAACAAACATTTTAAAGCTGAAAAACTGAAATAGCAAAAGATAAAATTTAAGTTTCCAAAATTCAGCGAAAGATAAAAGGGCTGGTTGAAACAGTCGGGCACAGAATCTCCTGGAGAAGACTGAAGCTGTATTGTGGGTTCACCTGCTTCTGTTTACCTACTGCAGCAATCCTGGGATGTACCAAACAATCTGTGCAGCAATACCCAGGCACAATATAGCAAGTTAATAACAGAGCTTCAGTCTTAACTGTGAATTCCCTTGCATTACTTGGTATATTGCTGATACAGACAGGGTTTTGTGGCTTAATACGAGGCAGCACAGAGAGTGTCAGCTGGAAATCCATTGCAGAGTTGTGGAACAATATACAGAATATAATAAAGCCATTCCCACCTTCCCATTCCTTTCTTGCAGTAGGAAGCCAACATTTAGAAACCCATAGCAAACAAACACCTGCTAAGCATAAATCACGAGCAGGAGCACAGCACTGGACAAGTTCAGAGAGATAGGACGGGAGAAAAAGCCATGAAAAATCTTAATAGTCATTAGGAAAACCTAGCATTTATTTCACAAACTGACAGGTGGCCAGTGAATCGACTTCAGAACAACCATAAAGAGAGAGCTGGTTATTATGCCAGTAAAACTTAAACAGCAGAGCTTTTTAATAAGCTGCACTCTGTTAGGAGTACACTGAGGGAGCCCAAGCAGGAAAAAGCAATAATCACATCTAGCAATAACAAGAGGATCAACTAATATCCATCATAATTTCTCCCTGTTTTGCTTCTCCCTATTAGTATGACATATAGTAGAAGTAGAAGCAGCCTAACAAGATACTGAGCAGAACAGGTGCAGAAACTAAAACGTCTTCCATTTAGAGAGTCAGCATTTTTCTTTGGAAAAACCTCTGTGTGCTGTGCAGGTTGGAGCCTGGGTTGCCCATTGCTTATACCCATTGTGTGATGTGTGCACTATTTTATCTCTTCCTGCAGAGTTTGGTTGTGACACACATAACACATGTGCCCGTAAAGTTCCCCGGAAAGGCGCTGCGAAGGTTCAATATATGTCATGGCAAGCGTATTTCTTTGTTAATTCCATAAAGACAGGCTGGAGAAGCCAAGTCTCCTACGATTTTTGTGTCCGCAGCGGGGAGAAACGGGCACTTTTTGTGCCATCATTATCCCAGAATTATGGGGGACTGTGTGATACTTTTACTCTTGCCAGAGAACGAGAGTGGAAATGGCACTGCCCCGTTCCTAACGCTTAATGTATGACCAATCAGGAGCTGGAAATCATCTGACCGGTGGCAGCTTATGCCATCCCATCAGTTCGTAAATTGGATGCAGTTTGTCAGATGGACACAATATCCCTCCACTGTAGGTGGTCTCTGTTTCATTAGGTTTCAGATTGATGGTGGTGAACAATAATCCAAAAGTGTGCAATAGGTACATCAACCTCATTTTTCATTAACAGTGCTTCCCAGACGTATTGGGAGCAGGTACAAAACATAGATTTTGTTTGGCTTACTTTGATCCATGCAGAGACTATTGGGTATCTGACTTCGCTGCTGGAGGCTTATGGTTTCGGTTAGCAGAACCTGGTACAGCAACTGGATGAGGTGTTTCTGATATTATCTATTCATTCAGCTCTGATGCAGAAATAGTGGGTGGCAAAGCTGCTAATTTTTAATTTTTTTTTTTATGAAGTAATGAGCAACCAACAATTTATTTACATACAAAGCACTGGAGTTACCAGAGCTACCTTTCTAAATTACAGGGTAGATATGAGACTGGTAGTGGGTTTTTTTCTCCTTTATTTCCCAAGAGATTAACAGAAATGTTGGTGCATTTTTGCTGCTTCTAAAAGAAATTAAAAGACTGAAAGTCTTTGCCAGGGTCACTGAAATGACATACAGAACAGCTACTGGTGCATCTTACACAGGTTTGACTTATGGGGATGCGTTTTATTTCACAGTGAAATAAATTAAAGTAGTATTCAATGTTGCTCAAATACTGAGTAATTGAAAAGGCATTTTTAAACCAGGGGACTTTGGATCCCTGCAAATAATATAATATTTATAAAACTCACAGAAAAACTGATATTAGACTCTGCAGCAGATGAGTAAGAACCTCTATCATCAGGACTGATAGGACACCACATGCTTTCACTATCTTTGATATAGTTTTCTTTCTAATTTGTATATTAAGAGAGTCCATCCACATTATTAGCAAGTTAAACATACTTATTTTAAAAGCAAAATCAAAGCTCTAAATAAAGTATTGCGAAGCAAAAATTACATTTTAATGTTAAGACGAATGGATTTTATTATGTAGAGGTACATAGGCTGTTAATCATGTTACATCAAGCTATCTGTGTAGTCAAGACAGGCAATATGGTTTACTCTTTGGGTGCATTTCTTATCTCAATTGTACAAGAAGTTTTCATCCACAATATTTCATTGTCTCATTCTGAGAAATGTTCCTCCGGGTCCTGAAGATTTAAAGAAACCTCTTCACGTGCCCAGCACGAACAGGAGCACTGCTCTCTGTGGGGCTGAGGGAGGGGGAGGCCTGTGTGTGCATGGGTTTGGCATGAATTCCTATGGAATGTACTGGTGCAGGGGCTCACATCGTGCCACTCTTTCAACAGCACCTCTTATCATTGTTTAAGAATATCTTTTCGCTTTCATGCTTTTCTGTAGTTATTTAACATAACTGGGCAACTTTTCTTCTGAAGTTCTAAAACGTGTGGCCATCGCCCTGGTTTTCCAGCCTTGAGCACGTCTCTTTAATAGATCACTTTCAAGGTGATGAGACATTGATATTCTGCTTTAATTAGTGTCATGAAAGAGAAAAAGGCCCTCAAATGTCAATGGCTTGCAAAAGTTGTTGGAGCACCTTCTTAAAGCAAATCTGAAGGCCTGGCCCTCACTTTTTTCCTTCCTTTCACATGATCCTATTAGAGGAGTTTTTTTGTAAACTGGTGTTATAAACGATTATTTTTAGTTAAGAGAAGCACCAGGAAAGATTAAAAAATGGATATAAAGACATTTTGGTTCTTGATCTTCTTTCTTCTCATCTCAACCTTTAGAAAGTCTTGCTGGAAGAACACAAGGAACAGCAGGAAGGTTTCTAACAGATCTTTGAGACCTCCTTGCAGTCAGATCCCAGGGGAGCTAGAACAGTATACCTCTGTGGTTCAAAAACTCTTTGGGCCAGAAAAAGGGGCCTTTATCTGCTGCCATTTCAAACATATTCAATCAAATATTGATCTAGAAAATCAGCCACTTTTTCTCTAGCAAAGAAATTAAATTAGTGCTACCTACTGAAGATCTACAAATGGTTCTCCTGAAGATAATGATAGTACCCTAGGCTGTTCCTAGGATCAAAAGTTTTTATGGACACCAAACTGATTTAATATTTTCTGTAATGCATGGAGAAAAAAGGGTGAAAGATCTGCTTGCCAATAGGAATGTGCTGGAGATTATCTCATGTGGCGAGTCCTTGCATCAAGGAGCCAGGTAGGTTTTTCAAATCCATCTCATCTTTGGAACAAAAGGAACAGAATGGAGCCCATTTCACCTCACACAAAGATTTTCCTCATCAGAAATGTCTGATACCTCTTATTTAAGTTGGTGCTGGTAGCACGTGCTCCTCTAACTCATAAACATTTCCTCTCTGTTGTGTTCTGCTTCCAGATGTCACTTATGTTGCTTTGGAAGAAGTGAGAAGTCTCTTCTTCACACCCTAAGCACTAATAGTTCATAAAACGTGTCTAATGTGCAACAATGGGAGAAAGATTCCTTCAAAAATATTTCAAGTCCCATTGTTGAAACATTTTCATCATTTGTACTATGAAAAAGGTAGTCTGTACAAAAGAGCACGAGGGTTTAATGATTTAATTAGGACTATTCTATGATTTTACTGGGCAAAATAATGAGGCATTAGCTCTTATTAAAGGGTTTCTCACATTCTCACCCACAAAATCATGTCTCGGGGATGTAACTACACCGAGACAAGGAACTGAATTGTTGCTGATGGAACCAGTAAATGGTGGATTTATCACCTCTCATTGCTTGAGAGAGAAATGTTTTGAAATTCTGACAGTTCGTATTCCTCACTGGACCTGTAAGATTGGACTCAATCTATGCACAGAGAAGAGATATTAGGTATAAACTTTGTAAATGTGTAGAAGCATCTCAGAGGTTTTGAAGGACCATCTTCAAACAGAGTTAAGTGGTTTGGAAATTCAGAGCTTCACCAAAGACTCAACTACTCCCTTCTAGTGTTTGGCTTGGCTGGTTGTGAATTCTGTTTGAATTGTTAATTAGTTCCTGTGTTTAGACTGTCCACTGGTAGTCATAGCTACCATGGAATCATTTTAAATAATAATCATTCAGTGTTCTGTATGCAATTCCACAGGATTGTGGAGGTTGGAAGGGACCTCTTGGATCATTTAGTCCAAGCCCCTGGCTCAAGCAGGTTTGGCAGGAGCTGGTTGCCCAGGACTGTTCCCAGCCTCCACAAATGAACTCCCCAACCTCTCAGTAGCCTGTTCTAGTGTTTGTGCATCCTCACAGGGCAAAGGTTTTCTTGTGTTCAGACTGCACATTACACTTTTTGTGTCCATTCTCACACTTTTGTCCTGTCAGTGGGCACCGCTGGGAAAAGTCTGGCTCCTTATTCTTCATTCCCTCTGATCACATGTTAATGCACGTTGAGATTCCCCCCCCCCCAGCCTTCTCTTCTCATATGAACAGATGTCCTTAAGTCATCAGCTCACCAAAAGAATTTCAGTGTACATATCTTGAAACCATTTGCATAAAGCAATATACATTTTCAAGGGATTTAGAACCCAAAAAATGGTATGTGCAACCCTTGGCTGGGAATTTTTCTGTTAGTGATCTTGTACAAGGCAGATAATCCAGCAAAGAGGTTCAGACTCCTTCTTGTGAAAGGACTCCTTTGTGCAAAAATACTTCCACTCTTCATATTGAGCTCTCAGAGTTCAAAGAGCTCCGAAAATCCAACACATGGAAAAAATTCTGTAACGTGGGTTCCAGGCAGATGTAAGGTGATGTGAGGTTACATAATTATCAGGCAGACATACTAATTCTGTGTGTAATACAATGTAACCCATGTTCTTGGGAAAATAATAACACAGTTTCCTTTTAAAGCAGTTACAGAGCATCAGGATTTGGAGTTAAATGTTAATAATAACTTAGAGGATTACTTTCCAGTTTTAGGGAAGCATCAGTGAAACTTGTGTAGCTTCCATCTACTAAATCCCCAAGTTGCTTCTTTCTGAAAGGGACAAAAGAGGCTCCAAGTGTGCTGAGTGTCCTCTCAGACATAAATGACAAATATTCTGAAGGAATTAAATTAGCCCCTTCAGATGAATATTCTAAATAAAGATGCATTTTGAAATGTCCAAAGGTTTCAGAACAATCCCAAAGCTGGGATAACAGAAGCACTACTTTTAAGTGAACCTGATCTGGTAAATAAAAATTGTCTTTCTGATTTTCCATATCCATCAGGACATTCCCTTTTCAATTCATCTATTAGAACTCATTGGATATGTCATAAAAAATATGGATAAACTGCTTAATCATTTAAGTCTAGCCTTTCTAACCCTCCCAAAATGCAAAGAAATTAAGCAGTCACAAAGCTGGAAACAAAACCAGAAACTCCATGCCCAACAAACTTCCCATAGCTATCAGACCAAAAAGCTTTCACTTAGTTTTTGTCATGGATCAGTCCAACCCAGAGCTATAAAAAGGAGGCAGGAATGACTTCTCAGTTTTCACTACAGTAGAATTTGACATCGAGTGTGTCCTTTTCTGCAGCAGGACTGCCACAGTTTAATATATTTTTTTAATGAACTGGAAAAAGGGATGAGCATTGAGGTGATAAAATTTGCAGGTGACACAAAATTATTCAGGTTAATCAAATCTGGAGAGGGTAATAAGAAACTTCAGAAGAAAATAAACAAGTTAGGTGAATGATCAGTCTGATGGCAGGTTAAGTTCCCTGTTGATATATACAAATTAATGTAATTTACAATGTTGAGGTTTTCAAAAATCTATTTTTACATCTTGGTGTGTTCTAAATTAATTGTATCAAAGGCAAAGGACCCAGAGAGCATTGTCAAGAATGCAATAATGGCCTCCACTTGGCATGCAGCTATAGTGGAAAATTTTGGTACAGGAAGGAAGAATAATATGAAAACCTCTTTAACGTCATTAAATTGATTGTCCTCTGCATTTCAAACAGCAAGTGCCATCCTGGTCATCAACTGCAAACAGAAGGCTTGCAAAAGTAGAAGCAGCTCCATGCCAAAGAATGCAAAGGATAAGGAGAAAAGCCTGGACCAATTGGCATCACCAGCTTCCCAGAAAGGCTGCAGGGTAGATGGGATACAAAGCCATGAAATAACACCTTGATAAGGATGGTTGGGATCTTGTCATGGATGATAAGAACACCCAGGGAAATTTTAAGCAGGACACACCCTCCTCAAACACTGTGGAGCTTGTTGCTGTGGGACATCAGTCTGGCAAAAGTGAAAAAAGGGACTGGCCATTTGTATGAACTCAGAAGTTTTTAACTCTGGAGTTGAATTTTTTAGTTTGCCTTTTGCTTTGGTTTGCAAAGACAGTTCTGCAGGAATTGCTTCCATCTATTACATAGAGGCTGGTTAATCATAATTTTCCTCACAGTATTTCTTCAGGATAATTCCCCATTAAGAACATCTGCAGTAAGAAAAAGAAGACTAAAAGTGAGAGATAGAGTGATAAAGAGGATAAGAACTGTTAGGTAAATAGAGCTTAAACGCAGGTAATGGACTTTTAGCATGGGTCAGCTGTGCTGTAATTGTGAGCTAAAGTTAGTTGAATTAGGAGGCTGCAAGCAGGTGACACAGTTGGCTAAAGAGCTGTCCTTGAGGTAATTCAGCAGCACACTCCTCCTTCTGAAAAATGCTCCCAGCGTTTCTTGAAAGAGAGTTTGCACTGGTCTGTTTAAGGTTGATTGCTATTGAAATGGAACCCACAGAAGCAATTAACAGTCAGCAGCTCTGCACTGCAACCAGGGAAGGAGCCCTGCACTGCACACAGTGGCAAACATGAGGTTTAATAAATAGGAATTCCAAGGGATTTTCACAGGTTTAGTAGAGTGGTGACATATGTTATCATCCTGCTCACCACAGACTGCAATAGGATTTTACACTGTCATGTCACATCGGCCCATGATAACCAGAAGTCATTTATTTCCTAAGAAAATAGTAACTAGATATGACAACCTGTGTTGCCTCATGGTGAGGTTATGGTAGTATTTACTGATAATGTGAAGTATAACTTGTGTCATCTATTAGATTTTGCAGTAGAAATTCAGAGCATTTCTAAAGTTAAAAGAACAGCCCAGTTTGTTTGTGTCTTGTCTTTTTGGTTGATAACATAATAAGAACTTCTATCACTTGCATACAGCTTACATTAAAAACTATATAGCAATTCTTAAATTAAGAATTAATCTATCTTCAAAGTGAAATAAATAATTAGACTTCTTTGTAATTATAAAATTCCTCATTATGTAGCTCCTTTTTTTGCAGAAGCAGGGAGAGATGTATTTATCTGTGTCTCTGTGCTTCTATCTATCTATTGGGTCTCTCCTGCTTTTGTTTTTCTAGACAGGATATAGTGGTTGTATTTTAACGCTGCAGAATCTGAAATGAGTCCTCTATTAAACTAAGAATGCATAGTTACCATTCTGGTTTTATTTTCCTCGGGAAACATAAATAATTAAACTTGACTTCAAGTAAAAAGATGAAGTTAGCCTTCCTACTGTACTCCAATCATTTTTCCTTTATGGCTTGGCTGGCAGGATGGTAATCCTGGACTCTTGCTAGAAATTACCACCTGAGAGTTCTCTTCATTTGAGTCCTTTTGCAAGGTGGATGCAGTGGATGTCTACAACACAATTTAAAAGGCTTTTCATCGGGCTTCATTCTTGATTTCTACTGTAAATTCCACAAGCTACAGTAGTTTAATGCAGGAGCGTAGATGTCCATAAAAAGCTGGAGGGAATGGTGTAAGTTATAATGCTGTTATAAAACTGTCTGTGATATTAACACACACTGTATATTAAATACACAAAACTGTTACAATAACTTGAAGGCTGAGGCAAACTCATGAAAACAAATAAATTCTTTAGGACAGTAGGCAAAAGGTTGTTCTTTGGAAAAAGATTTAAATACAGTTGTACAGCAGTCCAAATTAACCCCCTCAAATAAAAAGCTTCCTCCACCTAGTCATGTAGCCTGTGCACAAAAATCCATGCACAAAATAGATTTTCCAGAAGCTTTTGGAAGCTTTTGGAGTCTGACCTCCTCACTGGGACCACGTTCTCAGCGTCCTGACAGATACCAGGAGGATGAATATTCCCCTGTTGCCTGCCACATTCATACCATTTGTCCTCCCAATGTGGCAAATAATGTAAAAACAAAACAGTGAGAAGTGCATATAAAAATGGAATAAAACACAAATTCATGCTCATATTCTGCTCATAGTTACATTGTTGTAAACCCAGAATAACTCCAGTGGCTTAGCTCAGGATAGGACAGAGCACTCCCACTTAAGTTACTAAAGCATGTATTTTTTTCCCCTCAATTTATAGCATTGCCAGTTGAGTGTAAGACTATTTTACATGGCAAGGTCCCTCCATTCTGGCCCAGCACAGTGCCTGGCTTCTCAAACGCCTCCTAAACCCACTCAACATTCATCTTTTTATGGGTTTTTTGTCTCTTGAAACATCAATGGAGGGGAAAGTGTGGATGTGCTTAGGCACAATTGCACTGAATTACAGGTGGCTGCCATTTTAGGTAGTCCCAAGGTCATGAATAGCAAAATATGAAAATTTCAGCTCTTTACTGTTGGTCAAAGCCTTAATGTGTTCCATGACCCTCCACTAGATTCAACCTATAAAATGAGAGAAGCTTAATAAATCTCTCTGTAATAAGTATTACACATTATGTCAAGGAAAACTTAGATCAAGCTTCTCCTTTGAAGTTTTAATGGGCACTCCAATTTGATGACAGCAACTCACCTGTGCTTGTAATAAGTTTGCAAAGCCTGGAGCAGCTCCAGTCCTCTGGGACTACAGCTCTGGATGACAATGAGCCCAGGGAGCTGCAAGCTTCAAAGGGATCATTCAAATAGTCCAGCTCTGGCCTTACCAGGCAGTGCAGGCAAACTTTGAAATACTTTTCTCCCTATCAAAGAGTATTTCCAGGTTGAGCTGTTCATAATAATTTGGTCTTGGAATAAAATTGCAAAGCCCTTCAGTTTGAAAAGGATTAATCAGATTATGCCCCTTTGCTCCACCCTTGTGCAAACCAGGAGAGGGGGAAGAATAACACCCCTGCCATTCCAAATAATGCTGAATTAAGGGAAACATATGTAAACGTTCTCAAAGACTGGGTGAAATGGATGTGGAGAAAATTCTCCTAATAAAATGGGGGATTTTGTTCGAAAAAAGCCTTACATGTAAGTTTGTTATTATGACCCAAATCTTGCATAGATTTATGGACAGATTTACCTTCCTGCACTGCACTCCATTTTGGTGGAACTGCCAACCACGTGTATGGACAATCACCTGTACAAATCTGTCTGATAATGAGCATCTAAAGGCTCAGAACTGAATTTGTTCTCTCTTTGCACAGGAAGGATGAAGCCAAAAAATGCTGTTTGTGTGGCGCAGTGTGTTACAACCACAGTGTTATGCACCCTGTAGACATGAATCCCTAGTGATTAAAACTGCTCTGAAAGGCAGAGAAAGTCACTAAACATCTGTAAGATTAAAAGAGGAGAATGTAGCCCTGTACATTTTCAAAAATCAATCATGTAACAAGGGTGTAGTTTACCAACAGAAAACATTAGGCAATCATTTTAGCAAGGCTGTTCTTCCCATGAACACACGGGATCTGCCCCTGTCCAGGCACAGATCTCCTTCCCTTATCCCATGAGTCAAAGGTAACTTTGATTTCCTCAATGATCCTTCTTCCTGGGTGAACGTGGCACCACATTATCTTGGCTTTTATTTTTCATTCCCAGTTTAACAGTTATAAACACCTTTCAACATCAAATAAGAGCAGCAGGGTAATCCAGATAAAAGAAAATTCTTCAGCCCTAACAGCCTGACTCAGATTTATGTGCCTGTTTCAAATTTCTGCTCCTCATTCCAAGACTTGCAACATTTCACAAGTACCACATAATGTGCTACTTGATTGGCCTTTCCAAGGATACAATGTGCTGCAACACATTGTTGGGGAGTTTTATAGGTGTGTATCCCCACCACTTCTGGTAGTCATTGAAAAAATATATCACGGCCTTCTCTTTCTGTGCTCTACAGTGCTGACGTTTCTTAATATAAGGTTGTCTTGCAGGATGTCAAACTGGGTTTGAATTATTTTACAGGGTTCTCAGTTAAAACACTGTCATGTAAATCAATCACACCCCCGGTTCTCTGGCAGGGAACTGCAATCTTGAAGTACAGCCTTCAAATGGAATCAGTGCTGTTACCAGATTTCATTGTAGGACAGCAACGACCAGTCTGGGATTTACTTGTTGCTGTCCTGGGTAAAACCTTTGCTAATAAATTATTGCCAAGGGGATGAACATTCCACAGGAGGTTTCCCTTGTTTAACCTTGACCCAGACTTTGCCAGTTATCACTGTTAACCAAGCAAACACCAATTTCTATTTTTGGCCTGATGCAGCTTTCAAAGCCCCTGTGAGGTTTCTTGCAGCTTTTCCTCCCAGCTGAGCTGTTTTCCTGGCAGGTCACACACTTGCACTGTAACCTCGTTTTACAGACTGGACACTGAATCCTTGAGCTGAAGGTCTTATTCAGCATTATGCTTTACACGGGGTAAAGTAGGTGTAAATCACCATCACTGATTATTTTCTTATTGCTACAAAGTTTTCTTTAAGGTGTTTATAGAGACCTACAGTTTATAAATTATTTCCCATGTCCCAGAGCATTAGTGTTTATAGCTGGTAGTTAGAACATCATTTATTAAACATCTTTTGAAGCATCATCCATGTGTATTCCCAGATGTTAAAGTATACCTACAATAAGTTAGTTTTAAAGTAATTTCTATTAATCATGTAACATTAGCAAAATCCTTATAAATTAATCTTAAAATGTTACCACTTTATTCTCATAAGTCAATAACTGGTGACAAATGACTGATGAAGAATAACATTACAATAGAATAATCCACAATTCTGGAGACTTCAAAGCTTCATTACAGAGTTGTTTCTCCTTCCACTGTCAATATATACCATTTTGCTACTTTTCCCCCTTTCCAATCCATAATGTATTTCCTGTTGTCTCTCTCAACACCCCCCAGTCCTGAGGGGGGCAATCTTGTAATTACCTGCATTAACTCCATTATATTGTGGGCTTGTGGGATTCTGCACCCCCAGAACGAGTAGCTGCTGTGTTCTTAAATGCCAGCTACTCTTTAACTGTGAAGGCACCTACTATTTTATTGGAACTATTCTTGCTTTATTACTGTAAACAACTTCCATCATAATGATGCCATTTGAAAGAGCTGATCAAGCTGAGAAAAATGACACCACAGTCATAAAGTCACACTAAATTTTGCTATTAACATTTTATAGTGCATATAAGGAGAGCGTTCCAAGTTGCAACTACAGACAAAAGAGAAAATTATTTTACATAGAAATGTAGATTTCAGCATTAGCAATATACTGGTACAATCATTTGCACCATATTCTTAAGCACAAGAGATGACCCTCTCTGTAGATAAGAGAGTGTGCTGGTTGTCATATCTGAGATGAATCTGTGCTTGCTCTGTGGCAAACATGAGAATACATTACCCCCCTTATGCCTGAAACACAGATAGAATGATTGTGTTGGGAGGAAAACATAGAAATCTCACATAAAACAATCTGAAAAGTTATCAGAAAGAAAATTCAGTTCATAGCAGAGCTCTTGATAGAAAAGAAAGCCTTAGCTGAAGGCTGAATGTCTTTTTCCAACCAAACTGATCATCTGACCCCAGGATAAGTTTCCTTTCTGGGATGTATGCAAAGCATGGAGTTTGGAGGCAGCTGCTGAAGTAGTACTGTCCTTTGGTCACCCTTAAAGAATAGAACAGGCTGGTATCTGTACTGGGAACTTCATTTAAAGGGATTTAGTTTGGGCTATAAGGTAAAACAAAGTGATTTTGGTACAACTTCTGTTGTGTCACCAAGGAACTGCCAGTGACAAATCCAGCCAGTGAAGTAACTGCTATAGAGGAAACCGTAACAGAGTGAAAAGAAATGACAGTTTGTAAGATATGCAACTGTTTTAATGTGAATTAATGAAGCTGGATGTGCAGGGAGATCCAGCAACCCTTGGATCTCTATTTGAAGGGCAAAGAGGGCTGGAAAGGAAGCAGAAGGAACCACCAGAGATCAGCAGGCAATTTTGAAGGGGTCCAGGCTCATAGAGCAGCTTGGGAGGACATCATGGTCCAGAGACAAAACCAGAATGAAGTTTTGTCTAAGCTGCAACCAGTTTCTGTTCCCTTCCTCCTGGGGAGGGTGATATTTATTGTTTACAACTGTGAGCTTTCAGATGAAAGGGATACTTATGCCTTTATAGGTGCACTGCCTTCACTTGCTCAGGCCCAAGACCCAGCAGAAAGTCAGTGCATTTGACATTTAAGAATATCAGAATTCTTCCTGAAGGAAGGTTAAACCCAAGAGCATTCATGTTCTGCTCAGCACCATCCTTCTTTACAAGGCCACAGCCGAGGTGTCAGATCCTTCCTGGGAGGTGCAGCCCTGTCTGCTGGAACAGCAGGAGCTGCTTTGCCTTGAGGGGGGAATGCTGAAGCAGGAGCCTTACAATGAAACCCACTGTGCTCCCCAAGCTAGTGGGAGTCACACCTTCCTCAGGAGTGCAGCAGCCCTATCTCCAAGTGCATGAGATGCTGAGTCCTTGCCGGAATTATGCCCTCTGCCTGCCTCCTTTATTTCAGTATCAGGTCTTTTCAATTCTTTT